GTGTTGGGTTAGGGTTAGGGTTAGGGTGAGGGCTATTGTTGGGTTAGTGTGAGGGCTAGTGTTGGGTTATAGTGAGGGTTAGTGTTGGGGTGAGGGCTAGTGTTGGGTTAGGGTTAGGGTTAGGGTTAGTGTTTGGTAAGGGTTAGGGTGAGGGCTAGTGTTGGGTTAGGGTGAGGACTAGTGTTGGGTAAGGGTTAGGGTTAGGGTTAGTGTGAGGGTTAATGTTGGGGTGAGGGCTAGTGTTGGGTAAGGGTTAGGGTGAGGTTAGGGTTGGGTTAGGGTGAGGGTAAGGGTTAGTGTTGGGTTAGGGTAAGTGTTCGATTAGGGTGAGGGTTTGTGTTTGCTTAGAGTTAGAGTGAGGGTTAGGGTTAGGGTTAGGGTTAGGGTGAGTGTTGGGTTAGGGTGAGGGCTAGTGTTAAGTTAGGGTTAGGGTGAGGCCTAGTGTTGGGTTAGGGTTAGTGTTCGGTCAGGGTGAGGGTTTGTGTTTGCTTAGAGTTAGGGTGAGGGTTATTTTTGGATTAGGGTGAGGGTTAGTGTTGGGGTGAGGGCTAGTGTTGGGTTAGGGTTAGGGTTAGGGTGAGGGTTAGTGTTTGGTAAGGGTTAGGGTGAGGGCTAATGTTGGGTTAGGGTGAGGGCTAGTGTTGGGTTAGTGTGAGGGTTAGTGTTGGGTTAGGGTTAGGGTTTGGGTGAGGGTTAGTGTTGGTTTAGTGTGAGGGTTAGAGTTAGGTGAGGGTTGATGTTGGGTTAGGGTTAATGTGAGGGTTAGTGTTGGGGTAATGGCTAGTGTTGGGTTAGGGTTAGGGTTAGGGTTAGGATGAGGGTTAGTGTTGGGTAAGGGTTAGGGTTAGGGTTAGTGTGAGGGTTAGTGTTGGGGTGAGGGCTAGTGTTGGGTAAGGGTTAGGGTGAGGTTAGGGTTGGGTTAGGGTGAGGGTAAGGGTTAGTGTTGGGTTAGGGTTAGTGTTCGATTAGGGTGAGGGTTTGTGTTTGCTTAGAGTTAGAGTGAGGGTTAGGGTTAGGGTTAGGGTGAGTGTTGGGTTAGGGTGAGGGTTAGTGTTAAGTTAGGGTTAGGGTGAGGCCTAGTGTTGGGTTAGGGTTAGTGTTCGGTCAGGGTGAGGGTTTGTGTTTGCTTAGAGTTAGGGTGAGGGTTAGGGTTAGGGTGAGTGTTGAGTTAGGGTGAAGGCTAGTGTTGGGTTAGGGTTAGTGTTCGGTTAGATTGAGGGTTTGTGTTTGCTTAGAGTTAGGGTGAGGGTTAGGGTTAGGGTTAGGGCGATAGTTAACACTATGTGGGTTGAGTTAACCTTCCCAGTTCTACGCGGAGAATAACGGCTTATTGTACCGAACAACACCTTACCATGTCACATCAATAGAGTTTCACAAACAATACTGTTTCGCTTTTGTTATGTTGAGTGTCAGAAATCAAAGTGATTGTATTCAATTCTGATAAAAGACTGTGGTTTACGGATTAGATTTGACGATTTTAATAGAATTATTACGCAAACTTTTAAGTATCTAATTAACAGAAAGTGGGCAGCAGATATTTAAATATCATAATGCTTTTATTCAGTTAGGAAATGAAAATCTAACCATTTAGTCTTTATATAGCAATTCTATCATCAGTCATCAATATAACAAACACTAAGATCAAAAAAGTTTCCTTTATTGTGTCTACAATATCATTATGTTTTGAAAATATTTTCTTCAACTTACTGGACCACAAGAACTTTTTGAAGTGCAGATATTTTCGTTGTCTTCGTAGCTATAGGAAACGATGAAAATAACAAGAGAAATACTTTATTTAAAAGAATTTTATTTAATTATATGGTTTTCACGAAAATTTGCACCCTTTAACTGATTTCTTATTTGTAAACAGCGCGAATAATGCTTGATTTTGTCCTCAAATGATTATCTAAAGCCAACCTCCCTGATGTATCCGAGGTGTACGGATGTTTCTTTGTATGCCTTTAATGGCCTATACACATCTATAACCACGAAGCATGACCTAATTATCAGCAGGAAAGTGCCTGTGTTGTTTGAATGTACGAATATAACGTGTTTTTAAACATTTTAAAAGTATGAGTAATTTTTAGTTTGAATGCTTTAAAGCAATGTCGATAGTTCGTTTACGTTTGACTTGTCAAAGTCAGGTATCGATTTCCCTTATCGTTTATCATTGGAGTCAATCTCTTCGTTTTATAAAGTAGACATACGCTATTGTGATGCAGAATCAAGGTCGGCCATTTTCGAATATAATTACTGATTAATAACTATTTTTCAACACAAGGCACACATGTTCACATCCTCTTAACTTTGTTCGTTTGCCATTTCAGATTTTTTTATCATACATATACAATTTATGTGTTTCTGGAGTATGAATCCTGCTGACTTCCACTGGGACTCACTTGCTGCAAAACTGCACTTAACCTTCCCTCATTTATAAGTCATTTACATTTCAAGGCAGAATGACTCCTACATCTCCTTCTCCCAAAGTATTAAATTTCCTAGATTTTAATTGACAATATGCAAACATTATGACTATGTTGTCAAGATTTTGATAATATATATAAACATCATAAATATGTCGTCAATCTATGAAATTGTGTGTATTTATCCATAGTTACGCATTGTGATTATCTTGTGTAAGGATATATGGTGGTGTCGTTCTTGCTTATACCGGTTGTCAACGTACTATGTTTGCTTTTTTGCCCCTAATTTTTACAGAAATGTTGTTTGATGTTAAATCATTTGATATATATATATATGTATTTGCAAAAAGTAAATAAAAACATCAATTTATTAATGTATTCTTTGAACCACTTTGTTGAAATGGTGTTGTCAATGACGACCAGTTGCAGCCTACTGCTAACAGTATAATATGATAGGTGAACGGATCTGTTCTAAAGATATGTGTTTAGTAATTTGGTCTTGCAATGATTGCTGAAAATCTCTCTGTCTTGGAAACCAAAGGACAGACGCTTTAAACTTAAAACGGATCTTTGGGGTTTGTCGGCAGTTTACACCAATCTGATGCACGTTTTGTTTATATCACTCATCGAAAATTATTTTGAGATTTATTAATTTCCAAATTATGAATTAATGGAAACAATTATCATGGCAATTATTGTTAATAACTAAAATAATAATAATAAAGCTACATTTTGCGTTTCCGTAGTTACCATGGTTACCGTAGTTAATACACTTAACTACTGACAATTATCACAACAGCTTCAATAAGTTTCAACGATGTATGTATTGAACAACATTTTTATGGCGTTCATACCACAGTAAACGCAATAAAAGTTTAATGTCCATGTAAATGTACGCGTACTTGTGTTAACAACAATCGTAATAGAGAAATATATCAAGTTGTACTCAATTTGGACCAAATCATTCCCGTGTCGTTTGCTTAATGCTTGGGTATATTAACATTGATCTGCGCGTATCGATAAGGGGAGATAATTCTTACACGATTTGATCCATACTTCGTTCTAATGATATTTATTGGAGATACACAGAATGTAAATTAAAAGAAATGTTATATGTAAAATAATGGCTTTAAAAAACATATAAATAGTGTACCAATATGGAGACTGTAGAAGAATGGGATAGTTTTCACATTTTGGTGATATCTGCATAAAACATTTACCGTACTGTCATCTGAAACAAAATAGCTGCCAATAACATGAAGATTTTAAACTTCATTTGCCTGAAAATGATACTCTCCAACAAGACTAAGAACATCTACTAAGCGATTCTGAAACAAAACTGTATTTTGACTTAAGTAAGTTATTGATGCCATGGAAACATCAGAAGAGGACACGACACAGTTCGTGTCAATTTAAAGATAGCTACTATCCGACCCAAGGCTAAGATCTCGATCTAGGCAATATTTCTGCACGCAGCTGTTTAATAATTTCTTTCATTTTAATGAAACAAATGTGACAATTAATTAATTTTTTTTTATTGTAAGGAAAATGTTAAGTATAATCGTCTTTCTCTTCCCCCAACCCCGGGCGGTACTGCTTGACCATCCTCTACATATGGACTAAGTTTCTAATCCAAGTCATTAGACTTGTTCAAGCGCTCACAAATACAGACTTGAAATTGTTCAAATTATTGATAACAAATTTTCTAAAACACAACTACTGAATTTTGCTTCGGTCGATTTCATGGGATTAAGAATTAAGATGTTCGTGTGAAAAAAATCCGATCAAATCAAGTTTCAACCCTTAAGTGAATGGCGGATACATGTACGACATACAGAATCGCTACACCAACTATGGGACCGTGTTGTGGTCGATATTATTGATAAGCTATCGAACAGCAGGAACAACAATCTCCATTGCTGGACTATATCAACGTAGTGACGTCACATATCACTGACTGTGACGACAAAGACAGGTGCGCGAAGCCCGATATCTCCATTGAGACACTGGAGACCGACGAGAGTTTACTTGCTAAAGGCGGACAACATTCTACTAAACAGAGAAAGGTACGAATCCATTTCTTAATTAACGTCAGTATATATTTATTAAATGATTAATGTGGTTCAGAAAAGTGTTCTTTTTATTTTGGGAAATTCCACGTTCATTGATAGTTCGCAATCTACCTATGTCATCCATTCGCTATATATATATATAATTTTTGTTTAACTGATGTTAGATGCAGTGCAGCTCTATTTGTAACTTGGTAATGTAATACAAGAATGCAATTACGAACTTGAATATGTAAATATTGTAATTATTAGTTACAGGTAAATACTACACCATGAGATTCAGCCCCCTACTGATATTTGTTCTCATTACATCCGGGTTCCATTGTCATTCTTATAAATACAAGGGAAGTAATGATATCAATTTAAACCAAAGTCCAAGAAGTCATTACATTTCCGGTGTCGGCGGTTCTAGTGTAAACTACAGATCCGGAAGTGGCTCTTTGACAGAAGACATTGGTATTCAACCGAGTTCCGAAAAAGAAGCAAGCCCTCATTTCTCAATGAGTGGTCAGCCAGGTTCCGGAAATGTAGCGAACTCTCCTTTCTCCATTTCTGGGGACGGATATTTCAACGGAGGAATGGATGCCCAACCAGGTTCCGGAAATGTGGAAAACTCTCCTTTCTCCATTTCCGGAAGTGGATCATTATCTAGCGGTTTGAGTGGCCACCTAGGTTCTGGAAATAATGCGAACTCTCCTTTCTCCGTTTCCGGAAGTGGATCTTTATCTAGTGGTTTGAGTGGCCAACCAGGTTCTGGAAATAATGCGAACTCTCCTTTCTCCATTTCCGGAAGTGGATCTTTATCTGGCGGTTTGAGTGGCCACCTAGGTTCTGGAAATAATGCGAACTCTCCTTTCTCCATTTCCGGAAGTGGATCTTTATCCGGCGGTTTGAGTGGCCACCTAGGTTCTGGAAATAATGTGAACTCTCCTTTCTCCATTTCCGGGGATGGATCTTTATCCGGCGGTTTGAGTGGGCAACCAGGTTCTGGAAATGGAGCAAACTCTCCTTTCTCCATTTCCGGAAGTGGATCTTTAACCGGGGGTATGAGTGGCCACCTAGGTTCTGGAAATAATGCAAACTCTCCTTTCTCCATTTCCGGAAGTGGATCTTTGACCGGGGGTATCAGTGGCCACCTAGGTTCTGGAAATAATGCGAACTCTCCTTTCTCCAGTTCCGGGAGTGGATCATTATACGGAGTTATGAATGGTCAACCAGGTTCCGAAAATGCAGCAAACTCCCCTTTCTCCATTTCCGGGAGTGGATCTTTAACCGGAAGTATTAGTGTTAAGCCAGGTTCCGGAAATGAAGCAAACTCTCCTTTCACCATTGCCGGAAGTGGGTCCTTGGGCGGTGGATTTTACGGCCTTGACACCGGAGGAAATAGCATGGGAACTGCTGGTTCCGGTGTAGGAATGGCTAGTCCATTCAGTACAGGGAACAAAGGGGGTACCGGAAATGGACAAGGACCATTCAGTATGTCGTCGTCTGGAGATAGCGGGGGAAAAGGCGGAAGTGGAAAAGGTAGGCCGCAGAGACTTCAAACAGACAAATTATGTATACATAAATTTCTTACAGAAATTAACTATCTAATGAATACTGAATATGAGGCTTATTATTTGGCAATCTAGTAGACGACAGATACAAAACATACGATATCGTCGAACGTTGTTTTGTAAGCTTGATTTCCTCTTATCGTTAAAGAATAAGTGAGAGAGAGAGAGAGAGAGAGAGAGAGAGAGAGAGAGAGAGAGAGAGAGAGAGAGAGGAGAGAGAGGAGAGAGAGAGAGAGAGAGAGAGAGAGAGAGAGAGAGAGAGAGAGAGAGAGAGAGAGAGAGAGAGAGAGAGAGAAAAGAATCACCTCTCACACAGTGATAGACAAATACAGACACGTGCTCTTTTGATCACTTTGAACTTTCTTCAGTCGCTTCCTCGACTTCAAAAGTCAACACCGAGCATCACTAGCGAGTCCTAGAAGGACGAAACAGCTGTATGATGTAGCATCACTGACGAGTCCTAGAAGGACGAAACAACTGTATGATGTAGCATCACTGACGAGTCCTAGAAGGACGAAACAGCTGTATGATGTATCATCACTGACGAGTCATAGAAGGACAAAACAGCTGTATGATGTAGCATCACTGACGAGTCCTAGCAGGACGAAACAGCTGTATGATGTGGCATCACTGACGAGTCCTAGAAGGACGGAACAGCTGTATGATGTGGCATCACTGACGAGTCCTAGCAGGACGAAACAGCTGTATGATGTAGCATCACTGACGAGTCCTAGAAGGACGAAACAGCTGTATGATGTGGCATCACTGACGAGTCCTAGAAGGACGAAACAGCTGTATGATGTAGCATCACTGACGAGTCCTAGAAGGACGAAACAGCTGTATGATGTAGCATCACTGACGAGTCCTAGAAGGACGAAACAGCTGTATGATGTAGCATCACTGACGAGTCCTAGAAGGACGAAACAGCTGTATGATGTAGCATCACTGACGAGTCCTAGAAGGACGAAACAGCTGTATGATGTAGCATCACTGACGAGTCCTAGAAGGACGAAACAGCTGTATGATGTAGCATCACTGACGAGTCCTAGAAGGACGAAACAGCTGTATGATGTAGCATCACTGACGAGTCCTAGAAGGACGAAACAGCTGTATGATGTGGCATCACTGACGAGTCCTAGAAGGACGAAACAGCTGTATGATGTATCATCACTGACGAGTCATAGAAGGATAAAACAGCTGTATGATGTAGCATCACTGACGAGTCCTAGCAGGACGAAACAGCTGTATGATGTGGCATCACTGACGAGTCCTAGAAGGACGGAACAGCTGTATGATGTGGCATCACTGACGAGTCCTAGCAGGACGAAACAGCTGTATGATGTAGCATCACTGACGAGTCCTAGAAGGACGAAACAGCTGTATGATGTGGCATCACTGACGAGTCCTAGAAGGACGAAACAGCTGTATGATGTAGCATCACTGACGAGTCCTAGAAGGACGAAACAGCTGTATGATGTGGCATCATTGACGAGTCCTAGAAGGACGAAACAGCTGTATGATGTGGCATCACTGACGAGTCCTAGAAGGACGAAACAGCTGTATGATGTAGCATCACTGACGAGTCCTAGAAGGACGAAACAGCTGTATGATGTAGCATCACTGACGAGTCCTAGAAGGACGAAACAGCTGTATGATGTGGCATCACTGACGAGTCCTAGAAGGACGGAACAGCTGTATGATGTGGCATCACTGACGAGTCCTAGAAGGACGAAACAGCTGTATGATGTATCATCACTGACGAGTCATAGAAGGATAAAACAGCTGTATGATGTAGCATCACTGACGAGTCCTAGAAGGACGAAACAGCTGTATGATGTGGCATCACTGACGAGTCCTAGAAGGACGGAACAGCTGTATGATGTGGCATCACTGACGAGTCCTAGAAGGACGAAACAGCTGTATGATGTAGCATCACTGACGAGTCCTAGAAGGACGAAACAGCTGTATGATGTAGCATCACTGACGAGTCCTAGAAGGACGAAACAGCTGTATGATGTAGCATCACTGACGAGTCCTAGAAGGACGAAACAGCTGTATGATGTGGCATCATTGACGAGTCCTAGAAGGACGAAACAGCTGTATGATGTGGCATCACTGACGAGTCCTAGAAGGACGAAACAGCTGTATGATGTAGCATCACTGACGAGTCCTAGAAGGACGAAACAGCTGTATGATGTGGCATCACTGACGAGTCCTAGAAGGACGAAACAGCTGTATGATGTGGCATCACTGACGAGTCCTAGAAGGACGGAACAGCTGTATGATGTGGCATCACTGACGAGTCCTAGAAGGACGAAACAGCTGTATGATGTGGCATCACTGACGAGTCCTAGAAGGACGAAACAGCTGTATGATGTGGCATCACTGACGAGTCCTAGAAGGACGAAACAGCTGTATGATGTGGCATCACTGACGAGTCCTAGAAGGACGAAACAGCTGTATGATGTAGCATCACTGACGAGTCCTAGAAGGACGAAACAGCTGTATGATGTAGCATCACTGACGAGTCCTAGAAGGACGAAACAGCTGTATGATGTAGCATCACTGACGAGTCCTAGAAGGACGAAACAGCTGTATGATGTAGCATCACTGTCGAGTCCTAGAAGGACGAAACAGCGGTATGATGTAGCATCACTGACGAGTCCTAGCAGGACGAAACTGCGGTATGATGTAGCATCACTGACGAGTCCTAGCAGGACGAAACAGCGGTATGATGTAGCATCACTGACGAGTCCTAGCAGGACGAAACAGCTGTATGATGTAGCATCACTGACGAGTCCTAGCAGGACGAAACAGCTGTATGATGTAGCATCACTGACGAGTCCTAGCAGGACGAAACAGCTGTATGATGTAGCATCACTGTCGAGTCCTAGAAGGACGAAACAGCGGTATGATGTAGCATCACTGACGAGTCCTAGCAGGACGAAACAGCGGTATGATGTAGCATCACTGACGAGTCCTAGCAGGACGAAACAGCGGTATGATGTAGCATCACTGACGAGTCCTAGCAGGACGAAACAGCGGTATGATGTAGCATCACTGACGAGTCCTAGCAGGACGAAACAGCTGTATGATGTAGCATCACTGACGAGTCCTAGCAGGACGAAACAGCTGTATGATGTAGCATCACTGACGAGTCCTAGCAGGAAGAAACAGCTGTATGATGTAGCATCACTGTCGAGTCCTAGAAGGACGAAACAGCGGTATGATGTAGCATCACTGACGAGTCCTAGATGTAGCATCACTGACGAAAGGACAGCTGTATGATGTAGCAGGACGAGTCCTAGAAGGACGAAACAGCTGTATGATGTAGCATCACTGACGAGTCCTAGAAGGACGAAACAGCTGTATGATGTAGCATCACTGACGAGTCCTAGGTGGACGGAACAGCTGTATGATGTAGCATCACTGACGAGTCCTAGAAGGACGAAACAACTGTATGATGTAGCATCACTGACGAGTCCTAGAAGGACGAAACAGCTGTATGATGTAGCATCATTGACGAGTCCTAGAAGGACGAAACAGATGTATGATATTAACATCACTCACTGACGAGTCCTAGAAGGACGAAACAGCTGTATGATGTAGCATCACTGACGAGTCCTAGAAGGACGAAACAGCTGTATGATGTAGCATCACTGACGAGTCCTAGAAGGACGAAACAGCTGTATGATGTAGTTTGAATAATTGTCTGGCTTTACTGTATCCAATTCTAAATTTATGTTAACACGTGCTTTTCACTTGTGTGTTTTTTTACATGTCGATATTTCCGAGTTCAAATTCAGTGGCACAAAATAGAATATCTAGCGATGTAAATTTCTCTAACTGTAGATATAGTTATTGAAGTAGACGCCATTATTTCTAGGAATGCCCAGTCCTTTCTCCACATCGGATGCGGCCGGCGGAGGGCCAGGCAGTTTTGTCGGGGGATCGTTTGCAATGGACATGATGGATAGCGCTGGTCCAGGAGGACTCACTGGCGGATCATTCGACATTGGAACCGGAAGTTACGGACCAGGCGGTCTTGCAGGTATAGTTCCTGCCCTGTAATTCTAAAATGTTGTTTTCCTACCTCAACTTTGACCTTTCTGGCAATATCCAAAAGAAGTTCATGTTTTAGGATTTCAAAGTTGATATCACTATTTATAGAAAGTTGCCAAACATCAATGCCAAATACTGGGATATTCGTCTTGTAACAGACGTTTACTTTTTTCTGAATATACAATCGTTATGTATAGGCCCTTACTACTAATTTTTGACACAGAATCTGTTAAAGGTACAGGTCGAAAATTACTCAACTCAGGCATCACCGTGCCTCAACTGAACCTGCATTAGCAATGCACATAATATCGACAAATATCCTTTAAACGAATCTGTTTTGGTTTTTATCAGCATTATTTCCGGTCTCTTTACTCACAACAAAATTGGCATGCACAAAACGATTGTGATGTTTACCAAGTCCAGGTCCATTATAAATTGACAACTTTAAAAAAAGAATAGATTTCACGGATAAAAAGGATTATCAATTTATATCTGAACTGGATAAGTTGTAATTTACACTGCAGCTTGACAATATGTTAAGTGTATGAATGAAAATGTTAATCATAGAATTTTGTTTCCTTACAAATCCCCACTGTATCGTGCATCACTAGCCAAATTGAAATTTACATTAATTTGAAGAAATTGCATTTATTTCAACATAACAGTACAATTCCTACATACCATCGATATTTCATGGCAATAAGTGCGATACCTTATGGATAAAAAAAAAGTTTGTGATATTTTGTAACGATATATTGTACTGACTTAGATAATCAGTCTGTGATTGGTCAGGATTTTTTTTCTCCTGAAAGCCGCTCTTTTCCAATCAAATTACTTCGATGTTGCCTTCAGTTTTGCTACGAAATGTTTCAGAGGTGCAGGGATCAATAGTAAGCGTTACCCCGGGATCTGTAATTTTCAAACAGAATATACTAAGACAAAAGCTTGCTTAGTGTACATGTACATAGTTTAATCATTTCTGTTATAATTTGTACCAGAGATATCTTGTTCTGTTAGATAATGTATCTGTAATTGTCGGTAGGAGGAGCGTTTGACTTGGGTGGTAGTTCTGGCTTTAACGGCGATGGTGACAAGAGTCTATATGACACTGATCAATACCAGGCGATGCTTAAGGACCAGTTTAAAAGCGACTTATACGAACCAGGGCTAACTGGAATTTCCTACTCTGGAGGACTTACAGCAAATTCGGCCTTGGCTGGGAATTCCAACTCCGGATCCACGTCCGCTGAACAGGACAGTTTAATGGATTACAACAAAAACCCATACTACAGTCTCGGTTCATACTCCGTGTCGTCCGGGTCAGGCTGGGACAGCTCGACCTCACAAGGTCAGTTGACATTTGGATGACATTTGACCCCGTACACACAACGACGTTGGCCATGTTGGCCGTCACAAGTTCGATTTTTATGAAATATAGTCTTCCATTTTATACACTCACCAGACCAAATCGATGAAATCCACAAAACAAACGTCATCATTGACATCAAACAGAAACATCCATTACCCACACCCTTCGAATAAAAATCCTATTTACCCAACTACCAACTATGTATTGTGTTACATTATCGATACTCCAGGGGTTACCATCACTTAGCAGAAGACACTTTCCCTTCCGGAACACCTTATCTAATTCCCCTAGTATTTCTTAAGATGTCTCCGTGTAAATTTTTCTATTGTTTATATTTCGCTCTAACTGCGTTAAATTTTAGGTTGAATAAGAAATTATGGCAACATATTGATCACTTTTTTTTGTTTATTCGTAGCAGCCAAATCAGATGAACAGAACTTCGGAAATCCTTTTGATTTACCCTATGACGAACTTCTGTCAAACCCGCTATCATCACATAGCAACACGGGTAAAGACGTCTCTACGTTCGGGGGGTTCACTGCGGGATCTGCCAACCTTGTCGATTCTTCGATGGACTCTGTAAAATCGCTGTTTAATATCGATAAGGGATACAGTTCTCCTATTGGAAGTACTGGAATCGGAGGCTTCAACAACCCAGGTGGAAATCCTGCAAATCAGAAGGGATCAATGGCAACTTCCTTCCAGGATCCTTCACGTCAGGGCAGCCCCTTTAAGACTTTCAACCAGGTACAAAGTAAGTACATGTGCACTTATTGTACATTTAACTTCAGTGAATCTAATGCTTTAAAGAAATACATTGAGGTTTAATCATGAGGCAAGAAGCAAACACAAACATCATAAATAGCAAGTATTTACAGTCTCGAATGACAAACATGGTGGCGAGTGTAAAAGACAATATTTGTTTTGATGATTGCCTGTCTAGGCAGCGTTGCAAGTATTTCTCTCAACTTTGTCATATCCATTGACTAAATATTGGATACACGATATGTTAATTATTCCGAAAGATAGAGCAGTTTGATGTAAGTATATTTTGATGTGTCTATCATGTAAACAAATAGCGATCGCATCCATCCGAAAAATGGCAGAATGGTGAGTTGACAAATAGAGACGAGGGGGCACAAGTTAAGTCATCTTTATGACCCCGTTTTAGCATTCAACAATTGGCGGAATTTCAACCGTTCCACAGACTGTCAGCCATATAAGAATACTAATGGGACAAAAATGGTTCGTGACAGTTTGATAGTTGGCATTGCACTAGTTGTAAAGTCATTTGTCCTCTTTACTTGAAGCAGACGTTCGAGAGCTTGTTAATAGCTTTCACGTGCTTTAACCGGAATGGGTAACGTGACAAGTAAAAACTAGTAAATTTAATCAGTAGAATATAAAGATTGTGCCACTGATTACAGAGCATACGACACAAGTGTTGTGTGTCCATGCACATAATGCGAGTTATAAGGCAATGTATTCAATGAAAAGATCGGCCTCCTGTTAAAGTTTTGAATGATTGTGGACAAGGCTTCCGCACACACAACTCTTAAATCGAGATCACCCTATCAGTTCAGTACACATTAACTCTTCTTTTTTATGTTTATACAGGGAGAAGACTTCTACACAAGGAACTCTTAAAAGGAAATCGCCCTATCAGTTTACTACATCCTAACTCTACTTTTATGTTTATACAGGTAGAAGACTTTTACACACGGAACTCTTAAATCGAGGTCACCCTATCGGTTCAGTACACCCTAACTCTATTTTTTATGTCTATACAGGGAGAAGGCTTCCACACACATAACTCTTAAATCGAGATCACCCTATCAGTTCAGTTCATTGTAACTCTTCTTTTTTATGTTTATACAGGGAGAAGACGGCTCCTACACACATTGACTGTTAAATCGAGATCACCTTATCAGTTCAGTACACTCTAACTATACTGTTTTTTGTTTATACAGGGAGAAGACGGCTCCTACACACATTGACTGTTAAATCGAGATCACCTTATCAGTTCAGTACACACTAACTATACTGTTTTTTGTTTATACAGGGAGAAGACGGCTCCTACACACATTGACTGTTAAATCGAGATCACCTTATCAGTTCAGTACACTCTAACTATACTGTTTTTTGTTTATACAGGGAGAAGACGGCTCCTACACACATTGACTGTTAAATCGAGATCACCTTATCAGTTCAGTACACACTAACTATACTGTTTTTTGTTTATACAGGGAGAAGAAGACTCCTACACACATTGACTGTTAAATCGAGATCACCTTATCAGTTCAGTACACACTAACTATACTGTTTTTTGTTTATACAGGGAGAAGAAGACTCCTACACACATTGACTGTTAAATCAAGATCGCCTTATCAGTTCAATACCACGTAACAATACTTGTTCATTTCTTACAATAAAAAAATGAAATTTAAAGATTCGTTTCCTCATTGTATTATTACGTTCTACATATCCCTCAGACGAAGAAGGACATTGTACTATCAAATAGTCTATTTCTCACGTTCGGCATATCTTTCGGGTTAAAATTTCTGTGCATATTATTTAACCTACCATGAAAAATCATCGTAGCGCAAAGGAAAATTTTAGAAGCACAGTTTTAAAGAGAGGTAAAACAATATTATATTTCAGGTGGGTTTTAGTTTTTAGATTAGCCGTGACAAATCTCCACTATTTTACCTCTGCAACCGTTCGACAGTAGGTAATCAAAGGGTAGTGGCATTTTATTTTGGAAAGATGCAGAAAAACTGAAGAAAGCACGTGTCAAAATGTCCTGTTCATCATAAACACTTGGAATTTTTCTTCAGTGATCGGCCACGTTGTTGTTGTATATGGAGCTCGAGGTTCTACACATCTAGTTTTACAAAGATGAGAAAATTATGATTGGAGAGGTAATAGCTGATTGGGCCATATCAAGCGTGGCTCTGAAATCTACACTGGCCAGGTACAAATTTGACGTTATAACGCTTTATTATTTATATATTTTATTATTCATAAGCCGAATTCTCCATTTCCCGATGTTGAAATCTAAGGTAATAGCCGCTTTAACGCGACACCTTACGATTCATTAGCATTCATGACAAATATAATTGATAAATAAGTAATGTGAAATACAAAAACGCTATATCATGTATAAAACATGATATTGTATGTCGTATTTAGTTAGATAAATACTCTATCCTTGTCATGTACAAGGTAGACAACTTAACGGAAGATGGCCAGCTCGTCTATAGTTACTTTATATTAGTGTATAGTGACTTTACATAGGCTAGAATAGAACCGTAAAGTGCAGTGACAACATTTACTATCAACATTATCAAATAAAGGTTCGAACAGGGCATATATATATATAGAGTGGTGTAGTCAGGGGATGAACAGTAACAATATGTATAGAGAGGTGTAGTCGGGGGATGGACAGTAACAATATGTATAGAGTGGTGAAGCCAGGGGACGGACGGTAACAATATGTATAGAGTGGTGTAGTCAGGGGATGGACGGTAACAATGTGTATAGAGTGGTGTAGTCAGGGGATGGACGGTAACAATATGTATAGAGTGGTGTAGACAGGAGATGGACGGTAACAATATGTATAGAGTGGTGTAGACAGGGGATGGACGGTAACAATATGTATTGAGTGGTGTTGACAGGGGTTGGACAGTAACAACATGTGTAGAGTGGTGTAGTCAGGGGATGGACGGTAACAATATGTATAGAGTGGTGTAGTCAGGGGATGGACGGTAACAATATGTATAGAGTGGTGTAGTCAGGGGATGGACGGTAACAATATGTATAGAGTGGTGTAGACAGGGGATGGACGGTAACAATGTGTATAGAGTGGTGTAGTCAGGGGATGGACGATAACAATATGTATAGAGTGGTGAAATCAGGGGATGGACGGTAACAATATATATGTAATTATCGCGAGACTACACAAACAGAACCGTCCCCAGTCATCAAATCATTACTAACCTTTACCATACCACGTGATGAAATCTCCACACCACTACGACCAGGTCCGGGTAGTTTGTAGATCCTATTTTATTCGTTAACGTAAATACATCTTCTCCATTTTTGGTCGTTGCTCGTCCAAGATTACGAACAAAGATTATTGTAACCTTACACTCAACAAATCTACAATAGGCAGATGTAGACATGTCAAGTTAAGTTTCGTAATTGAGTTTTATAAATTTTAAAGGATATCATTTATTATCTGTCAATAATACACGTCTCAAAACTGTTTTATCAATTCAATGCAAGCGTGTAAAAACTAGCTAACTCATTGAAAATGAAACTAAAACACGCACACACTTTCGGTTTTAAAATACCGTCGGACATCTGATGCCCTTTTTCATCGAAATATGACCATCTTAGCAACACTGCCATTTTTTAAATTGACGAACGAAATTGATTTAACAATTTTAGTCATGTCGTACAAGTAATGCGTGTATGAGACTTCGAATCGATGGATGATGGGAGACAACTCGTTCGGTAAAAGATGGGTCAACCTGTTCATGACCTGGCAAAATTGAAGGTTCCGTGTGTGACACCTTGTGGAAATGACGAAAGGACAGATGTGATCCTTTGATGTACATCAAGCGAATCTCGAGCATAACGGTAAATTGTAATGGCTTTGAAGGGCGGAATCGCTGTAACCTTCCAAAAGGAGCATGTCAGTCTGTGACTGGTCAGTTTTTTTCTCCCGAAACCAATCAAATTACCGTGGTTGTGCCTTTAGTTTTACCACGACATGTTCCAGGGGTGCAGATAACAAAAGTAATCATATCTCCTGGAGTGTCTAGGATGAGGACAACCATTTCTCTTTCAAACGGGCCAGTGGCGCAATAATATGTTCTACACAGATCTAAATGACCTATGTTACTTAATGAGATATTTACATTCTCTTTTTATTTTTAATTTGTTGATTTTACATGATTGCATTTTTACAAAAAGTGACAGCATCATCTACTTCACGAAATAATATAAAACAATAGAATAGAAGTTCTTATAACACAACCAGTGGAAGATTAGAGTGTGACATTTCGTTGACTTCACGGTCACCTCCATCTTATAACACAACCAGTAGAAGATTAGAGTGTGGCGTTTCAATGACAAAACAGCCACCTTCATCTTATAACACAACCAGTAGAAGATTAGAGTGTGACGTTCCTATGACTACACGGTCACCTTCATCTTATAACACAACCAGTAGAAGATTAGAGTGTGACATTTCGTTGACTTCACGGTCACCTCCATCTTATAACACAACCAGTAGAAGATTAGAGTGTGGCGTTTCAATGACAAAACAGCCACCTTTATCTTATAACACAACCAGTAGAAGATTAGAGTGTGACGTTTCAATGACAAAACAGCCACCTTTATCTTATAACACAACCAGTAGAAGATTAGAGTGTGGCGTTTCAATGACAAAACAGCCTCCTTCATCTTATAACACAACCAGTAGAAGATTAGAGTGTGACGTTCCTATGACTACACAGTCACCTTCATCTTATAACACAACCAGTAGAAGATTAGAGTGTGACGTTTCAATGACAAAACAGCCTCCTTCATCTTATAACACAACCAGTAGAAGATTAGAGTGTTACGTTCCTATGACTACACGGTCACCTTCATCTTATAACACAACCAGTAGAAGATTAGAGTTTGACGTTTCGATGACTACACGGTCACCTTCATCTTATAACACAACCAGTAGAAGATTAGAGTGTGACGTTTCGATGACTACACGGTCACCTACATCTTATAACACAACCAGTAGAAGATTAGAGTTTGACGTTTCGATGACTACACGGTCACCTTCATCAGACAAATGATCAGTGTGGTATGAAATCGACCGTACTATCTCTATTGACATTACCAACCTGAAGAAAGAAAATGAAAAAAAGGAGAAAAAATTTCGCTCTCTCGGATGTAGATGTGTGTTGTTGTTTTTTTACTGTTAAGAAAGAATGAGTTTCCAGTATAGACACTGAGTGTTGAATATCTCTAACGCAACGGATTTAATGAAGGGTAAAAACACAATAGATGTGACAAACAAACATTAGAAAAGTATGAAATATTTCATATATTCCTTTATTTTATATAAAACAAGGTCAAAATAAATAATATCAACTACATCAGGACAAACAGTTTAAATAAAATATACTCTAACGTAAAGTCATTAATTTGCAAATATCATTTCAAGGCTACAATGCCTGAAAAAGCATTTTAAAATCTACACAGTCATTACATAGCTAATACAGCACACCATTATAAACGATAAAAAATGCATAATATACGTTCTTAACACAGAACAATAAGTTTTAATCTGAAAGGGATGTATTTCACTAAGTTCGAAGAATGAGTAAATTCAAAGAAAAAAACTTTAATGCATTTGAAAAATAATATTCACATACTGAAAATAGTAACGACATTTTTCATGTCCAGTTACTTTCAACGTCAGAAGCTTCAGCTCATCGCATATTTTTCATTTAATTAATGTCGAAAAATAGTAAGAATCTTAAGTATTAATAATGAATGTTTTTTCTTCACAGTAAATTATTTTTTTTGACTTTTTGTTTTTTCCTCGATTCGTATAAACTGGCACATATAGTAGCTTCCATAAAGTTCCACTATATCATCAGTTATTTTTTGGGGTACTAAGATAACAAGCAATTCATAAGACAAGTTCACATCTCCTCTAGTCAAGAGTTCCGCCAGGCAGAAACTTTTTGAATATTTTTCTTTCAAGTTGACAACATTAAGAGACCGGTACGTTTTCGAAAATTTCTTTTTCAATTTTCATGACAAGACTTTTTTGAACATGCATTTTCCAATTTATCTCATGACAATGAGGAAACTTTTTTAACATTTCTTTTCACTTGTCTGCAGGCGAGTAAGAAGAAAGTTTTTGAAGATTTCTTTAAATTTGTTCTTAACGACTCTTGATGTTCATCCCTGCTCACTTCATTAACAGAATAAAACGGAAATATTCACCTGCAAGCGTTCGTCATAACAATTTCGACTTGACCTAGCAAGTCATGTCAGAAGTTGATTAACAAAAACAATAATTATACATAAAAGTATGAAATAATGTCATTTGTTGATCAAATGTAGGGTATATACATGTACATACCCTGAATCACGTTAAACTCATACCCTTTAAAATCATTGTAGATATCTAACATCACAAAAAAAAATGTTTTATTATTTGAATTATTGTATAACGTCAAAAAACCATTGATCATTTGAATAGCACTGTACATTTGCAGGTTGGTCTCCCATTAACTCAGTGTTAATCTAGATTGTATTCGCAAGAGTATAGATGCAATCAGGACCATTGTACAATAACATGACGTCATTTTGACGCCATGTTGACCGACGTTATGTCGACGCTTTAAATGTCGCCTCAAATAACACAAATTATCGCTTTACGTTAATCATTTAACTGATCATGATTTTCAAAATGCTTTTCAAATACGTAAAAAAAAACAGCGAGGAGAACGATGTTAGATTAGAAAAAAGGCATGGAGACGTTTTGAATAATATATGAAACGTAACCATTGAATGTCGGTCAGATTGTATTTATTGTCAACATGAATGTGATCTAGGTGCCAGGTAAATAATCATGATAGACATGTTCTATATATCTGTAACTCACATAACATTCATATCGACAATGAATACAATCTGACTGACGTTCAAGGGTTAAATGATCACACATTTCATATAACAAATGGACAATATATCAAAATATATATACTTCATTCAAAACAGATCAGCGTATTCTTCGGTTTCCTCGTATCTCCGAATAAAAAGGATCTATATATGAAGATGATTCTTAAAATTGGCATCAATAGTAGACAGTTGAATCACACAGGACAGCACAGCCTTGTCTAAACTGTGTTTCTAAAGCTTGAACATTTTCTTAAACACGCTGGTATAGCATTAGAATAAAAAAATAAATATTTAACAAAATACAATTCGCTTATGAAATAATGACAATGATTTTAGAGACTGGATGTTCAGTCTATTACGATGTAATAACAAACTTGCACATTTCTTCACTTAAAATCTTAATATTTGATTTCCAAAAAAAATCCCACTTTCTCCTTAAGGAGCAACACATGTACATTTAAGTTTAGAATGCAACATGTTTTGTTTCTTTGGTGATGAAAGACAGAAATGTATGACTGAAATTAACTGAAGCTGAAATCGAATTTTTTTGGCGTCTTTGGCCTCAACCGGAAACTATTCCCAACAGGTGGCATTTGTCTTTCTGGAAAGTAGTCTTGAAAACCCATGAAAGTATCCTGTCGAAACAGCTGATCCGGAGGATCCTCTCTGTAGGTTGGGTCCGGGGAGAAAAGAAAAGTTCCCGGGGGGCCGGGCGGTTTTTCTGTTATAGGTTCTTGTATATCCTCGTCTATCATTTGGCTGACTTGTGAGATTTCTGTGGAAATCAATGGATTATTTTTTTATAGAACTCTCCAACTTTCTACTGGGTAAAGTTAAAATGTGTGGAATTTGTAAATATTCTGTATAAGCAAACAATAAATAACCAACTTTCTGATAGGGCCAAGAAAATTTCAATATGATTCAGCTACTTTTGAATGTCAAAATGTCTGCACAACTTTAACAAAATATTTTTCTGTGTGTACTTTGTATACACGGCACTCATTTTTCTGTTGGTATCTTGTAAAATACTGTTGTAACTACAAAGTGCATCTCAACTCAGGCAGTATATACTGTAGTTTAATTCTGTGGTGCTAATATTTTGCAGTAATTTCAGATTATGCTATTTCTTTGTGATTATATTTCATATGTGTTTATACATTGTTATCTGGTTATACACATATATTACATATATTTCCTTACATGTTGATTTATGTTAAATTCTTGCTTTGTATTAATCTTTTATATGACCACAAATATAGGGACATTTAATCCCTAATCATTACCAACTAAAACGTAGTCCGCAATTGACAGGATCAAATTTTAGTGCAATATGAATTTTTAGCAAATTAACACAATGATGAATTAGTGCATCCAAAATAATGTTGTTTAAACAAAATACAGAAACTAGAATAATCCTATTTTAGCGCAATATTCGCACAGGTTGTACCTATAGATATAGCAGAACAATTCGAGGAGGTCTCAGCCGTTCCTACATTAAAAGAGTTTGTGGGAGGTTTGTAAATGTAGATATTGTTATATACAAACTATATGAGATGGTTAATTTGCTAAATATATATCAAAATACTTGAATTGTTTAATTGTACATTAAGAGTTATCTCCCTTACCATATTAATTCCGGATATTTCATTACGTCTCCTTTTTCATTTAATTATAATTTACTTTTTCCGGATATTTGGTTTCTTATATTATGTATATATTTTTTTTTTTTTTCTGTCATAAAGAAATTTGAAAAAAAAATATAGAAGTTTGAGAAGCTTTGTTTTTGAATGTTTTCTTGTACTGCACAATATAACAATACTTTTTCCAGTATGTTGTACCTAAAGATATACCAATTTGTCTTAATATAATGTGCTGCTTCATAAATAGTTCATACAATAAGTACAAATGGTATACAAACAAAACTCACTGAGACGGTGGCGTTTTTCCTTGGCTTTAATACAGTATATGACAATACCGATGATGAGAAAGAATACCAAAACCAAGAGGATGCCTAATATTATACCCAGGATAGATGATGTTGTCTCTAGGTCTGTCTCCCCAGCATCCTAAGGTAAAACAAAATGTGTACAAAAATCAAGAGTCAAAGGTCAATGGCAAAATCAAGGGTCAAAGGTCAATGGTAAAATTAAGGATCAAAGGTCAATGTCAAAATCATGGGTCAAAGGTCAATGTTCAGACTAGTAAACAATCCTTATGTATGACTGCTAACTAGCAAGTATGGTCATGGGGGAAAACACAGAATTTAATTGTCCTGCACGTAAGACGTCAGAATGCCTGTCTACCTTCCATAATCGTAGGAGGAAATTTACTTTAGCTCAGAATCTTTCTTTCTTTTTACATATCTCCATTGAAAATGACTCACTTTTATTCAGAGTTGAGACTCCATTGAAGTGAGGAAGACAATCAGTTCTGAGCCGTAATGTACTATAATACAGTTGAACCTCATTACCTCGACAGGACCGTGGGAAAATTTAAAGAGTTTTCTGAGTGCTCGATTTCAGCAAATTTTGAATGTTTAGTGTAATCTTTGGCCAGAACTGACAAAATGCTTTGAACTAAACAGGTTGTTCAAGTTATATGAGCTTACAGATAACAAGGTGAGACTATAATTAAGATTTAATTTCTTGCACTGCTTTTCGCTTAGCATGACGAAACAGCAGTATGATGTAACATCACTGCCGAGTCATAGAAGGACGAAACAGCAGTATGATGTAACATCACTGCCGAGTCATAGAAGGACGAAACAGCAGTATGATGTAACATCACTGCCGAGTCATAGAAGGACGAAACAGCAGTATGATGTAACATCACTGCCGAGTCATAGAAGGACGAAACAGCAGTATGATGTAACATCACTGCCGAGTCATAGAAGGACGAAACAGCAGTATGATGTAACATCACTGCCGAGTCCTAGAAGGACGAAACAGCTGTATGATGTAACATCACTGATGAGTCCTAGAAGGACGAAACAGCTGTATGATGTAACATCACTGACGAGTCCTAGAAGGATGAAACAGCTGTATGATGTAGTTTAATTCATTATTTTGCTCAAATGTATCTAACTCTATTCACTTGTGTGGTTTTTGTTCATTCTTCAGTGTAATTATACTATTAAAGCGTCCACCTGGACACCATGTTCATATAACCTACTTTCTGGTGAGGTTACCTGGCTGTAAATTTCCAAACAAACCAGTCATACTTTATACAGGAATACAGCTTGTAAAACAATTGTGTTCAACTTTGAGCGAAATGCATTGCCATGACATCACTGTACACTCGTCAATTAAGAAAGCAGTAGGTAGGTTCAATGTTGACTGTCAAAATGTAGCAAACTAAAACAACATGTTGTCTGTCTGCTGAAAGGCCAAAATAATGCACATAAAACCCGTTATATAAATACACACAAAAAAAAAAAAAAAAAACTTGACAATATTGCTCATTGTTGGTCGTCACTTATAAATTGTTTTATACAAAAGTGAAAATTGTAGTCATGACGAGTTAATGTTATCTTTCTGCTACTTTACAGGAATTTAAAGAGAATTCAGATAAAATAAATCAAACTAATGCAAAAATAATACTCCACCTGTCATTTCACTTACCTAAAACAGTATTGTACATGATGAAATGCAATAACATTCTTCTGGTGTTTTCAGTTAATATAGATTCAATAAAATAATGCACTTTTTAAATAGGGTTGATCAGTGGAAATATGTTTACTTATCTTTACTTATATATCTTAAATGATGATCAATAGAAATGTTGAGATACCTGAGGGAAACAGTTGCTTGGCTCGGTGCCGCCCACCAGTAAATATTTATCTAGGGTAACCACTGTTCCATTGTAAGTGTAGGACAAACTTGAACTGATATTGTTACACAGCATGGCCAGGAAATCATCTATAGTTGTATTGGTTCCCCTCAACACAAACGACACAATAACACTCCCTATAAAACAAAAACTCATTAAAACAGACACACAAATATATTGACATGTACACCATTTACACATCCAATTAAAAAAATTTTAAATTTTAATTTTAACCAATTTTCACAGTAAACAGTTTCTAATACTAAATTCTAAACAGTGACAGCTTTGAACATGAAACAGCTTTCTTGCTACTAAGAATTTTGGTTTATAAAAAAATCTTTTACAGGTTTCATCCATGTGACCTTCAAAAAGGGTCAAGGTGATTTAGGGAGACATCAGCCAAATAGCATGCTTCTGCACCTTTTGATTAGGCAGAAGAAATCGTTTTAAGGATTTAACAAATTTGCAACCTGTGACCTTAAATAGGTGTCAAGGTAATTTTTTTTGCAAACTTTGTCTGGCTTTGTCCTAGGATCCTTTCACCAAACTACCATGCTTCTGCAAATTTTGGTTAGTCAGAAGATGTTGTTTTAAGGTTTTAACAAATTTGGTCCCTGTAACCTTGAATAAGGGTCAAGGTCATTTATTTTCTCAAACATTGTCAGGCTTCAACATAATTGCCATACTTCTGTATCTTTTGGTTAATGATAACCAGAAGAATTTATTTCAATATTGTGACAAATTTTAACCTTGTGGGTTTCAATTGGAAGTCAAGGTCATTTCTTTTTGCAAACCTTGTCAGGTGAAATCATAGGAGCATACCAGCCAAATACCATGCTTCTACACTTTTGGTTAGTCAGAAGAAGTCTTTCATAGGTTTTAATATATTTGACCACTGTGACCATGAAAATGGGTCAAGGTCATTTCTTCATAATTTTTTTAAGGCTTCATTCCTGCAATGCACCAGTGAAATATAATAACATCTGGTCTGCTGCTTATTGCAGAGAAGTTGTTTGAATTGATAAGTTGATGCGAGACGGACCATGACGGAGGCAGGAACTGCATAAGCTCACTTAGACTTCAGGCCAGATAAGCTAATAATGTTCCCTGTATAACAAGGGCTCAATATAAAACTCCTTGTAAGACTAAAATAAAACGCTGCCTGAAAAACAATGATGCAATCCCTTAACATCCTTATTATCATTCAACATCATAAATTTCTGAAATAAAATGAATCTGATTTCACAGAGGACATGACCAAGGGAGGTAATCATTTCTTTAAAGTTTAAACATATTTCCACTAAAACTGATTTTACCTTGAGAAGCTGTACAGTTACTGAGACTTATTTCTGAATTCATTGCCATCATGTTGTTACATGTAGCCTTCGCGAAGGCTGTTGTCCCGTAGACACTGTAGTCCAGGTTATATCTGACTGACATTTCACTGTTCCGTGTCACATTTGATTTCATAGCTAACCAGTCCACTGCTTCTTCTTGTTCTAGAGTAAAGTTGTAATCAGCAGGAATTGAGACGACTTCAATGGCAAATAGGAAAATTCCAGCAGTATCAAGTACCAAATCATTAAAAACTGCTAAGCCGGTGATGAGGTCAAAGGTCACATTTTCTGTTCCGGTGAGTGATCCTGTGTATTCATAACTTTGGGTGATTTTAACCTTGGCAGTCCATGTGTGACCCTTGCAATGCAGATATCAAATATTTATAGATATTTATCAAATATATACTTTAGTACATTTTTCAGTGAAAATTCAGTTACGAGACCATGATGAGTGCAGTAAAAACAAATCATTATAAATAGTTAAAAGTTTATCAGCATAAAATTTCACCAAAAATCAAGAGGCCTACAGACCTTAATGGTCATCTGACTGTAAAGACCTATATATGAAAGAAACCTAAAATAAACTGCTCAACTATTCTGCAGCTTACAAAGAAGGCATTGTTGGTTCATAAAAACATTTTCTGTAAACTTGAAATCATATTCTTAATACAAGCTATTATAAAAATGACATTACTCTGAACCTATTGCCTGTTGAAATAGAAATTTTAAGATCTCAGCTCACTTAGCTCAAAAGATAGATATAGGTCAAGGTCATTTACTTGAACACATCAGTAGCCCTTCATTCCCATGTTACAGAGCCAATATTAGCACCCTGTGCCTTTTGACTGTTGAGAAAAAGTCATTTAAAGATTTCAACACATTTAACCCCTGTGACCTAGAAATTGGGTCAGGGTCTTTCATTTCAACAAACTTGGTAGCCCTCCATCCCCGCATGCTACAGGCCACATATCAGCACTATTGGCCTTTTTGTTATTGCGAAGAAGTCATTTGGAATGGAGAGTTTATGCATGGCGGATGGTGGATGGTAGATGGCGTGCAGATCACCACCAAAGATAGATTACTATAGGTCATCCTGACCCTTTGGGTCAGATGATGCAATAAATGGATACATTCCTTCCAGTTCCATTTTATAAATCAAAACATTTTATCAATTCAAAATGTGTTTCATTATTATTAAATTCTATTTCATAAATAAAAACTTATAAAGTAATAATGAAAAAAATTATATTTAAAATCAGTCCATTTCCATTCAATTACTTCAAAGTAAACAGTTCTATCCAGTCCAACTCATTATCATAAATACATATCATTGGGGGATTCATTTCATAGATGTGGCTTGAGCCCCATTTTTTCATGTTTCTAGAAAATTAATCAATCGAGAAGCATAATCAAACTGCGAAGTTCAATAATTATCAATAAATATCAGACGATTTCTATTATAAACAGGACCCAAATATTTCGAAAACTTTTCCTTTCTCGAAAGAAATTTGTTCATTTATGTTTTACATCCTATCATCAGCCAGGGTCATTTAAGAATGTGGCAGGTTTGGTTGGTGAGGGAAAGCTGGAGATCCCAGAGAAAAGCCACCGACTGTGGGCAGTACCTGACAACATCCCCATGTGGACCTTGAACCTTCGACACAGAGGTGGAGAGCTAGTGATTGAGAAGGTCAGACACCTTAACCACTCGGCCATCGCAATGTATTCATTTCCATACATATTACAATTGTACATATTTTAACCTTTGCAAGTATACAGATACAAACCTTCCACCCGACATCTGTAATGACAGCATCTGTTACACTGTCTTTGAGATGAACTGTGAGATTGAAAGCCTCATCAGTGTATTTAGGACTGGACACCGACGCTACAGCAGCTGTAATATTACGACTTAGGATCGTCAAGTTAGCCGAGGTGAGTGAGAAGTTAGTTCCTGTAGGTGATGTGATCTCAAAATTGATCATGTATGCTGTTCCTGTACAGGTTATTAACAAGTCTGTAAAATTGGCCCAGCCGTCTACAAAAGTAACAGTGGTAGTGCCTGCTAGTGTTGGAGTACAGCCACTTGAGTTACCCGCCCCTGTCTTCAAGGAGGCAGTCACTTCCCATGGTATTGCAGATATTCCTAGAATTGACGCATGATCTCCCTTGAAAAATAAAAAAAATAAAATTTTCATGGTAACTTATACTGTCGAAAGGATTCTTCATGAACACAATTTTCATAAATATATCGCATATTCTTACATTAGCTTCTAATCTTAAGAGATTTATGTAAGGAAAGTAATAATTATACATTTTGCTGAACCTCCTGTGAAGTAGATATAATTTTATTTAAGGTTTTTTACACTGAATGCATTGGACTAAGATATAGCTGGACTTATTGCAGACTTTGTATGGTGTTATAACAGGAAGTAACATGGATATTTTAAATACTGATATCTCTTTGTACTTATTTGCTATAATATGACATATCTCTATTTCTATTGCTCTATGCTTTGGTGAAGTTTACCCCCAATACCCTTAAGATCCGGTTTTCTTAACTGGCCCCTTGAATCGCTAAAGAATCATGTCTTGACAGCTCTCAAATCCCTTAAGATTCAGTTTTTTAATTGGCCCTTCAAATTTCTGAAGAGTCATGTCTTTACAGCTCTCAACATCCTTTTTCTTAGTTAGTCCTCTCAAATCACTAAAGAGGTTTTTTGGGCCTCAGAGGTCACACTTGCCAAAGGTCGCCTTGTTTTTCATTAGTTAAACAATACCTTTTTGCTTCCTTGTAACAGCCAGGGTCATGAACTGGTGTGTGATTAGTTAAACCAAAAGCAAGGGTCTTCCTTGTAACAGCAGCAAGGGTCATTTGGAGACTGGTGTGTGTGGGAGACACCAAAAGCAAGGGTCATACGGGGACTGGAGTGTGGGCATGACACCAATAGCAAGGGTAATTTGAGGGCTGGTGTGAAGGGGAGAAACTAATAGCAAGGGTCAAATGAAGACTAGTGTGTGGGTGTGACACCAACAGCGAGGGTAATGTGAGGGCTGGTGTCACAGGGAAATGCCAACAGCCAGGGTCATAAGAAGGCTTGTGTGAGACACCAACAGTCAGCCATGGTCATTTATGGACTTGTTTGGGGAAGACACTAACATATATACCAGTATACAAGACAATTAACACTTACATTGGCGTCAACAAAATGGAGAACTGGCTGCTGTTGGAAAGGATTGCCTTCTGTATCCTCAATTATGGTAGTATCAAACTGCAGACTGTCCAGCACATTTAAGACTGTTGTGACATTACCGGAGTCCACAATGGTCTGCCATGTTGGGTCAGTTGTGGATGGTAACACTTCCTCAACCCGCAGAGAATTCACTGTTACGTTCAGAATGTCACTTATTTGTCCTAACTGAAATGAAATGGGGATTTAAAAACGGAAAAAAACTCCCATCATGATTCATAATCCAAACTCAAATGCAATAAAATTAGAGCAAAACATGAGCAAAAAGAAATATTTAGACTCCTAAAAAGAACCAGAATAAGACCAGGTGTTCTGGAAGAGTAAGTGTTTTTCATTAATTATATCTGCTAAGTAAACCTTGGTCAATCCATGTAACATCACATTCTCCAATGAGAACACGGTAAACCACAACAGAATAGGTATATTAACAAGCATCAAACACATCTAACTCATTTTCATTATGTCCAATATAGGGTAATTTTATATCTCTGGCTATTCAATATTAGGTAAACATGAAAATGACTTCAAATGGAAATTGTAGCATGACAGGTATATACGACTGTACATAATATCTACATATCTGGGACTATTATTAAAACCTTTAAAAAAATGAACAAATATTGACAGACAAGAATAACAGAAACCTTAACACAGTAAGAAAATACCAACATGGCAACATAATCACAATTCAATCTCAAATTTCATAAAACTAGGACAAAATATGGACAAAAGAAAGATTTAAATGTCGACTCCAGAAAACATACAAAGAGTATAAGACCAGGTGTTCCAGATAATGAAGCATCTTCTGCTTCTTCGACGACACTCGCCATGTAAATCTTGGTCAATCCAAGTAAGTAATGACACATTCTCAAATGAGAAAAATGTATAAAACAACAGAACAAACCACTATTCTATCATTAAGTAGTAGATTGGGGTGTTGATGTTGCTGTCTATGAGTTAGAATCAATCACCCAGCAGAACTGTAATCCAGCGGATAACTAATGTAACCATGGTAACCAAATAACATCAGATGAAATATTATAACCATTATAATTACCATTTATCAAAAACTTATCAATTTTCAGCAAAATCATACACCAGTCATAGTATTTGGGCCATCATCATACATTTTTCAAGAAGTAAAAATTTGTCTGAGATTCTTTAATATCAGAACATAAAGTTGATCACTTGTTTATTAGATTGCTTCAAATATTACAATCTGAAAAAAACCCAACTTACCAGGAATGCATTTACAAGTTTGCTGGCTAAACTGACAAGGTCAGCTGCTTCTAGTGTCAGAGTTTCAGAAACACATGATGTTGTATTACAAGGTTGATCTGCAATTTGTACAACATACGTGGTCGTTCCAGACGATCTCTTATGACGGGACGCTGACTCTGTGATGGCTTCTCTCACCTTAACATGTTCACTTTCCACACCTATGAACTGTGCCAACTCGTTCACCAGATTTTTTAAGGACAAGTCTTCCAAAGATATTGTTGGTAATGAGATGTGTACAAATACGGCCTGCGACACCTTGATGTCAGTGTTACCATTCCCACATACGATCAAATGAAGAAGTTTCGTACTTGATTCGTAGAAGTTCGAACCGCAGTCATCACTAATCGTGGGAATATATTTGTCCCTATTGGAGCATGTATCCAGGTAAAACATTAGTTCCTCACCCTCATAGTAACTGTTCTTTGGTGGTATATATTCACCGAAGGCAAACACATCAATTCTGTTAGCTTTGAAGTAATAAATTGCAATTTTGAACTTGTGAGAGTTTTCTGAATGAAGCATGGTAAGACGTAACCACTGTGGAGGAATGCTAGAGAAGAACAACCTGTAGGATAGATCTGAAAATAAAGGAATAATGACTATCATACTCTATATACAGTATTGGTGCACTGTCCATTTATTATCCAATACTGATTAACTTTGGAGAAAAACATGGAGAACTCTAGCAACTTTCCATTCCATATACGAGATTTTTTTTCATTGTAACTAAACTGAAAAATTCATGGACTCATTTCATTAATCTTGATATGAAATGTGAACCTATGATCATTAATTAACTTGGTTCATTAGCAAATGTGAAAAAAATATTTGTAATAAATACTGTATTGTCTTATAGAATTTAAAAAAAAATAGGAAAATTCGCCTATGGCGACCTTTCTGCATGTCGACTTAAGTCGCCTATGTCGCCGAAAGGGTTAATCTCCAAAGATTGGATTTAAAGGATTTAATCAATATTGGGAAAAAAAGCGAAAACTTTGTCACGAAAAAGTCACAAATTTTTGTTGTAGGTTATTTATTTAAAAGAAATCAGGAATCACTGTTGGAGCAAATATGTCTACAGTGTCATTACACCTCTGATGGATATCTATAGAGATACAAGTGGTCACTTTATCTAAGACATAACATAACCTACACAAATATACATACGTCAATAAAATTCAATATTCAGATAAGATTTCCTGGAACAGACCTAATGGCTATGAAAACAGAACTTACTGGTTGCCACAACAACAGCGAATGTGGAGATGCTTTTTTGACAAGTGCTGTCGAAGCACTGTCCATGATCCTTGGGGCCGTTAATTAGGTCAAGGTAGCCAACCTGCGGAGAAGTGTCAGTCTCGCCTAAGAGGGCGATCGGTGACAGACGACGAGTTTCTGTATCAGAGTCCATACTCTCAAGAATCACCATCTTGTAGTCATAATGTGTGCACATATGGGCCTGCCATGCATACTGCTTCACACAGGTCGGGTCTCGAATTATTCCTGTCGAAACAAAAAACCGAACCAGATTATCAAATGCATAATGAGGTAAGCAAGGGCCACATTGTGGAGCTGTAGATATTATCCAATAATCACCAAGGACCATCTGTCTATATTCCTGAGGCTGGCCTTATACAATCACAGGGAAGAAAAATATTCATGACAAAGTGTACTAAAATGAGAGTCATGTTGCCTTCCTCCACCTCCTCATATTTGCTGGTCCAACAGAAATGTAAATACTCATATAACATTAATTAGTAAGTTTTCATTTGCTTCACTTTAAATACCCCCTCTCCGATGAACAGCATGGTTCATTGTCTGAGATCATGCCAAAGATCTGTTTTGAGATAATGGAGTGATGTGTTTGGCCTAGAAAATTCTTCATGAAAACTGATGCTGAAAATGATACATTAAAACAGGTCGTTTTCTAGAACTATGTTATCATACAACAAACAAAGCTTAAATAATAACAAAGTCAAAACAAATTGTGGAAAAAAAGACACACATCTCATTTTCACCTATGACCTAACAACTTTAACCTTTGGTCTTTTGACCCTTGCTCTGTTGACTTCTTGTATAATTATGATCCACCTTTTTCTTGACATTTAGACTCAAAGGAGAAACTGTGTGACCTTGATATTTGGTCAGGTTATTCTCCTGTTTAATCCTGTCCAACTTTTCCTTCATTATGTCACAACAATATGTTCATCAGTGAAAAACTCTTACCTTGACCTTAGGACCTACTGAATGACCTTGTTGACTTGTTAAATTGTTTATAAGTGATAAACTACAAGATTTGACCTTGACCTCTTCCATCTTGACCTTTAATAAGCTGATTTCTTGTTTAATTCTAACCAACTAATGAGTTTTGAGTGTGTTGGTTACCATGGATACAAATGTAATTGTGTCTGATATCACTTGTAAGGAAAATGTCAATCTACTATTTCCTCCACATGGATAAGTTAATGCCAGAGGATAAAAGATTTATACATCCTGTATTTACATATAGAATTATAATAACCAAGTATGTATCAAGTCTTCTCGTTCTTGATGAGAAGTTTGATTCTTCTGCTTTAACATGAAGGTCAAGGTTACAGTGACCTATAATTTAAAAAACAAGACATAATATAACAAAATGTTCTGATACTTAAAAATCATTTATTTTTGTAGGTTTTTATTTATTGGTAGGTATGTTGATAATAATTGGGTGTCATTAGTCCATGGGTCAAAAAAACATCTTGATATACCGGTAGGACAAAGAGTTTTTATCAAATTTGACTTCAGGAGTAAACTACATGTAGTACTATACATCCTGAAAATCAAGTGCCCAGGAAACAATACAAAAACTTAATGCCCTGCTTAAATGTGTGATTTAACACAGTGTTTCTAACCTCTTTCTGAAGCCAGCTCCCAGGGATCTACAACAATGCCATTAGACTGGTCTATAAGCATGGATTTAGGTATTTTATGGTCACCCGAGCTTCGTTTTAAATCTTTTCCATACATTGACTCCGACATGGATAAGACGGTTCCTTTCCGACCCAGCAGACTTCCATCTTTGTCATGGATCATCACCTTCTTGTGTCCGTCACATTCCATATCAATGCAGCTGGAAGGGTTCATTTGTCTGTAATACACAATCAGGAGATTTTCTATGTCTGGTTGGTACCTCAAAGAACAACATGCGGGAGGCCTACCATATACCTATCAAGAGCAGTTAGGTGTAGTGTCTTGCTGAAGGACTCAATAAAGATAGTAAGAATGATCTGTGATCTCAATTTTCTTAGAAATACAAACCACTCAGTATGGTTTATTGAACTTAAAGCCACAGATTTTCATCAGATATTTAGCTTTGTTCTCAAATCATTCTACAGTTATCTACTAATTAACATTGACCTGAATGTATGAACAACTTGTCATTCCTGTAAATCACTTATATCTACCGTAGGATGCATCTGTGTGACAATACCTGAGGATAGTCAATCGTATTAAAATCCCTCGCGATTATTTGTACAGAAATAATTCTGGATGACATCCATATTGAATCGGTTAAAAATATCCGTCCATATAGCTAATACCCCATCATTTGCAAATTTGATGTCATTTCAAAATCACTGTTCACGAAATCATGTATTTGCAAATATGTCTGTAGAGGTAAGTTTGTGAAATTAAATATATGCAAAATCTAAGTGATTTTGCAATATCATGTATTTGCAAATATGTCTGAAGAGTTAAGTTTGTGAAATTAAATACATGTAAAATCTGAGTGATTTTGCGAAATCATGTATTTGCAAGTAAGTCTGAAGAGGTAAGTTTGTGATATTAAATATATGCAAAATCTAAGTGATTTTGCGAAATCATGTATTTGCAAATATGTCTGTAGAGGTAAGTTTGTGAAATTAAATACATGTAAAATCTAAGTGATTTTGCGAAATCATGTATTTGCAAATATGTCTGTAGAGGTAAGTTTGTGAAATTAAATACATGCAAAATCTAAGTGATTTTGCGAAATCATGTATTTGCAAATATGTCTGAAGAGTTAAGTTTGTGAAATTAAATACATGTAAAATCTAAGTGATTTTGCGAAATCATGTATTTGCAAATATGTCTGAAGAGTTAAGTTTGTGATATTAAATACATGTAAAATCTGAGTGATTTTGCAATATCATGTATTTGCAAATATGTCTGAAGAGTTAAGTTTGTGATATTAAATACATGTAAAATCTGAGTGATTTTGCAATATCATGTATTTGCAAATATGTCTGAAGAGTTAAGTTTGTGAAATTAAATACATGTAAAATCTGAGTGATTTTGCAATATCATGTATTTGCAAATATGTCTTAAGAGTTAAGTTTGTGATATTAAATACATGCAAAATCTGAGTGATTTTGCAAAATCATGTATTGCAAATATGTCTGTAGAGGTAAGTTTGTGAAATTAAATATATGCAAAATCTAAGTGATTTTGCGAAATCATGTATTTGCAAATATGTCTGAAGAGTTAAGTTTGTGAAATTAAATACATGTAAAATCTGAGTGATTTTGCGAAATCATGTATTTGCAAATATGTCTGAAGAGTTAAGTTTGTGATATTAAATACATGCAAAATCTGAGTGATTTTGCAATATCATGTATTTGCAAATATGTCTGAAGAGTTAAGTTTGTGAAATTAAATAAATACATGCAAAATCTAAGTGATTTTGCGAAATCATATATTTGCAAGTAAGTCTGAAGAGTTAAGTTTGTGAAATTTAATACATGAGAAATCTTAGTGATTTTTCGAAATCATGTATTTGCAAATATCTCTGAAGAGGCAAGTTTGTGAAATTAAATACATGCAAAATCTGAGTGATTTTTCAAAATCATGTATTGCAAATATGTCTGTAGAGGTAAGTTTGTAAAATTAAATACTCGTGAAATCTCAGTGATTTACTTGTCCTTATCTCAGGTACATACTCTGTTCTTGGTTTGTGGATGTACAACAGGCGGTCGTTATTCCTGTTATCTCTAGGAACCACTCTGACGTTTTGTACTAATGTTGGGTGAATCAAATCGTCAGTGTTAGGGCTGGTGGATATGGCACGATCTTCAGAATTTGGACATTTGTTGAGATTGGCAAAAGTAGTACCTGCAATAAAACAATAAAACTTGTATCACATTTTCTTATCAAAGATTGTGAAAAAAAATGCTGATTTTTCAAATCATAATTTCTTAAAAATCAGACATTCTCTAATATATCAAGTAGGACAATAAAACCCTCCTTTAATATATAGAGAGCTAAACTATTATTAAATGAATTCTTTCATTCCTCGATTTTAATGTCCAAATTGTATGATTCATGTTTTAGTTCAAGCTTTCTTCAGTTTGAATTTTTTTTAGATGAATTTCCTTTAACTTTAAAATTTGTTTAAGTTAGAGAGACACAGTGGTTTACTAGTAGGATGTAAAATTTGTTTGAATCTTGACACAGATTCCATGATGTAACCTGGAACATGACTTTTTACTCTGCTGATAATCTGGTTGTTTTAGCTGTATATAAGTACTTTGTTAATCAATGCTGGACATGCTGTGTGGATTACATCTTTTTGACTCCCCAGGGAGATGAGTAAGATTATGACTAGTAACAATTCTGTCTTTTCATTATACAGAGTTATCTTCTCTTGTGAACAACTGTCCATTGTTATATCATTTGTTTGTGAGAGTAAACATCGTAAATTTGTGAGAAAACAATGTAACAAGCAATAACTGATAACAAGAGCAGATAACTCTCCACAACAAAAAGCAACAAGAGTGCAGTGGACACAATATATGCCACCACAAGATATAAAGATCAAGTTAAAATGGCATAAATCTTACAAAAATCAATGAACCGTAAAATCGCCCCTTCATGCACATCAAACCATGGTTTTAGTGACCTTGAGCAAGTTTTGTGAAAATCTGATCATTAGTTTAGGAGAAGTTGCATTCACAAAGCTCCACTAAGAGCAAGCTAGAGATACAAAGTTGAAAATGGCATATATCTTACAAAATTCAAGAAACCAGAATATCGGCCCTTCATGCACATCTACCCATTGTAGTAGTGACATTGAGCAAGTTTCATGAAAATCTGATGATTAGTTTAGGAGGAGTTGTGTTCACAAGAAATGGACGTACAGACGGACGTACGGACGGACGGCTCTACGGCAGCACAGACGGACGGACGAAGAAGATGATGCCTCCAGCGGCATATAAAATGACAGACTTACAATGTATAATAATTTGTGAACCACTTTGATACAGTTATGTAATGCTGTGATAAAGCAGTACATATATAAGACCTCTAAATTATTATTAACATATTTTGATCTCTCATTGTTGGGTTGTTGTGCCTTCTTGTACAGTGATGAATCCCATTCATGAATGCATGATGCTATTGGATGTTAAGAAATTATTTCAAATTTTTGTAATTTTCACAAAATCAGGACTCGATACCATAGGTACAGCTTCCCCCGTATGCTTGTATATACAGACAAACTGACAATTGATAAAGCAATAATGACAGTATGGATGAATAAATTGTCAAATTTTTGAGACAATCCGCCCCTTTATCACCATATCTATGATATATACTTACCTTTAATTACAGTACGCCCACCAATAGAGTTGTATGATGTACTATCTAGTAAAGGCAAGACTGGACCTTGATTGTGAGAACTGGTGAACGATCCGGTGGTTATACCAGTATACCCGATACTTTCTATACGGAAAGATCGACCAATGTTTCTACTCAACAGGTAACTTTTGTCTGTACCGTCAATCACATCATTTTTACAGTCAAAGTTTCTTGACCTCAACACCACCAAACTGTTGTTCACCATTAGGTATTTATCGATAATTTGATGTGACAAGGCACTCGGAGAATGAACCATTCCCCAGATTCCTACTCCGTTGTCAAGTAATGTCACACCATCAAACTCCACACTGGCAGCTCTGGATATCAACACATAAACCATATTTATCATATACCTACTCAAATTAATGCAATGAATCAAAATAAAAACAATTTGTATTCACAATGACGATGATGGTGATGATGAAAATGATGATGATGATGACGATGGAGATGAGGACGATGGTGATGATGATGACAATGAAGATGAGGACGATGGTGATGATGATGATGATGATGATGATGATGATGATGATGATGATGATGATGATGATGATGATGATGATGATGATGATGACGACGACGACGATGAAGATGAAAATGATGACGGCATTGGTGATGATGATGATGATGATGATGGTACAATGAAAAACTGAAATCATATTGCATGCAATGTGTATTTTCAAGGGTGTTTGAATAGATAAGATTTACACTTAAGGTATAAGTATATATATATATAAGTAACATACATAAAATACAAAACAATGAAACAACTAGGTGATAAAATGACCTTGACCTTACCCTACATAGAACATGCCGTAGTCCCAGTTCTTGTAAGACGTAATTCCTGTGTACCTGACACAGTCCACACCTGTCGGCTGTCCTTCGTTTGTAGGGAACAGTGCCACACCAATCAGACAAGTATGGACAACATTATCACTCCATGTAACAACGTCACTGTCACAGGGATGTGGAAAAACATTTAAACACGATCGTTCCGATGATGAGATGTGGTTTCCCACCATGACTAAGTCTATTTCTGTGTAACTCTCAACAGCCCCAGTGTAGTCCATCAGTTTAGTGTCATTACGGTTTCCGTAAGTCCCTCGCCACAGCATCAAAGACACCAGGTTGTAATACAGCATGGTATTGGAGGACTTTGTTTGTATCGCTGAAACAACACAGAAAGGAAACTATCAGGCCAGGGAACTATTAAATACAAGATTCAAGACAAAAGAAGGATTACAAACAGGTCAATATTGTGTGAAAATTATTACTCACGAACATGTCCTGCTGAAATCTTTTAAACAGAGATAACTCTCATCTTGAGAGTAAAAGGTAGGTCAAGGACATTTTCTTGAACATATACATTTAGACTTTCTCCCCAGTCGATACAGACCAAATATCCTGATCTTAGCTATGATTCAAAACTTGTGTGCTTATATAGGTTATAAATTAACTGTAAGTACTGTTAAAGAGGTTGGAATGATTTAGTCACAAAATATTGAACATTTGCAAAATAAAATTATTGCTCCTGTCATGATTAACCTATAAATATTTCCACAAAATCAAAAAAACCCTAACCCATCCACTCCAAAAACAGAAAGTGTTCCCAGTGATGAAAAGCCTATAGCCCTCAAAAACTGATATAGATATATCAATAGCTTAATAGGGCTTTATTGAGTGAAATAGGTACTGCATTAAATGTTCCCACAGTGTGATACATGATATTGTACTGTCTTACATGTTCCCACAGTGTGGTATATATTGTACTGTCTTACATGTTCCCACAGTGTGGTATATGATATTGTACTGTCTAACATGTTCCCACAGTGTGGTATATATTGTACTGTCTTACATTGTACTGTCTTACATATTCCCACAGTGTGATATATGATATTGTACTGTCTAACATGTTCCCACAATGTGATATATATTGTACTGTCTAACATGTTCCCACAGTGTGGTATATATTGTACTGTCTAACATGTTCCCACAGTGTGGTATATGATATTGTACTGTCTAACATGTTCCCACAATGTGATATATATTGTACTGTCTTACATGTTCCCACAGTGTGGCATATGATATTGTACTGTCTTACATGTTCCCACAGTGTGGTATATGATATTGTACTGTCTTACATGTTCCCACAGTGTGGTATATGATATTGTACTGTCTTACATGTTCCCACAGTGTGGTATATATATTGTACTGTCTTACATGTTCCCACAGTGTGGTATATATATTGTACTGTCTAACATACATGTTCAGTGTGGTATATATATTGTCCCACAGTGTGGTATATGATACTATACTGTCTTACATGTTCCCACAGTGTGGTATATATTGTACTGTCTAACATGTTCCCACAGTGTGGTATATGATATTGTACTGTCTTACATGCTCCCACAGTGTGGTATATATATTGTACTGTCTTACATGTTCCCACAGTGTGATACAGTGTGGTATATATTGTACTGTCTTACATGTTCCCACAGTGTGGTATATATATTGTACTGTCTTACATGTTCCCACAGTGTGGTATATGATATTGTACTGTCTTACATGTTCCCACAGTGTGGTATATGATATTGTACTGTCTTACATGTTCCCACAGTGTGGTATATGATATTGTACTGTCTTACATGTGCCCACAGTGTGGTATATGATATTGTACTGTCTTACATGTTCCCACAGTGTGGTATATGATATTGTACTGTCTTACATGCTCCCAAAGTGTGGTATATATTGTACTGTCTTACATGTTCCCACAGTGTGGTATATGATATTGTACTGTCTTACATGCTCCCACGGTGTGGTATATGATATTGTACTGTCTTACATGTGCCCACAGTGTGGTATATGATATTGTACTGTCTTACATGTTCCCACAGTGTGGCATATGATATTGTACTGTCTTACATGTTCCCACAGTGTGGTATATGATATTGTACTGTCTTACATGTTCCCACAGTGTGGTATATGATACTATACTGTCTTACATGCTCCCACGGTGTGGTATATGATATTATTTTCGACCAGGAAATCCGGAGCTCCAAACAAGCCTATAGCTGTATTGAATCCATCATGGAAGGCACAGTATTTGATACTGCTTGGAGTAGCAGGTACACCAGCGGGACCTGTGTCTTTATATGCGATAGAAAACCGAGGATCATGGGACTTTGTCCAGCTTTCTTGACCTGTGTGGTAAAACTCTGTATTCCAAACACGGGCATAACCTATGAAGAGAAAAATAATTATATAAAGTTACACAACATGATTTTGTGATTTTCTTTCTACTGTACGGAACAGAAAAGACACATAGATATATCCATTTACTCTTAAATTCACAATACGATTGTCAGCATTACATATGTACATTCAAGAAAGTCTTTGTAATTTGCACTCATTCTGTGTAAAGGCTCATTCTGCCTTCTAGGGTGAAAGGTGAATGGGACACCTGTTCTCCTGTACTTTTCACCCATGGTTATTACAAGCTGACTTTGGTCTAAAGATCCATCCAGCTTCTTTAAGACAGAAAACGTTTCAGAGAAAAATAGAACAGATGGATGGACAACATATTCACTGCTCAGGTGTAAGATCTTAGTAAATCTAAGTATTGATGTAACAAGAGGCCCAATGGGACTGAATCAGTCATGATTACCTGTCTGTTTCTGCAAACTCTGGACAGGTGAGCTAGAAATAAGGTTTTCCAAGATTGATTATTTAATAAAAAAATTAGATTCATCGTAATGCCAGCGTGAATGGCCGATGACTAAAACATTCGAAATTTATTTTATTTTATTTTTTTTGTTGTTTTTATCTCCAAACTATCATATATGACCGACGACTTTTACATATAACTATGTGAAGGGAGGTAATCCAATATGGTGGATGCAGAACTCGGGAATGATAACCTCAAGAATGGCATGTTCCTGCGTATAATGCGCAACCCCATTTTTGAAACGACAGTTTTAGCTTGAAAAAGTGAGCAATTTACGCGAAAATTTACGGTATATAAACAAGATTTCTTGATGTCCATCAAAAGAGGTCATATGGGCCTGTATTGCCAAATTGGCCACAATGTTCATCTAAAACCTGTGAACATCAAGGTAGGTCATTTATTAATCAATGAGATATAATATCTTTTAACACAGATATTTGGCAGATTTTTTGTCTGTCTTTTCAGCTATATATTTAGCTTTTAATGTGGTTTTTGCAATAAATCCTTTGTACGCTAAACTTTATATCTGAATATTACTGGATACTACTGGTCAAAAATCATGTCCCAGGCCTATTGGTATAGACATGGGTTAAAGATTTATCCTAACTGTTCCCTGGGACACTGCAAGTGGATTATGTTAATTCGTTCTGAATTTGAACAATGTGACATCCTTTATCCTAGTGGGTTACTTAAAGTCATGCAAACATCATGACCCTGGGCTAATTCGGATCTCTTCAGAAGTTATTTAAAGATCATTGGTTTAAAGATTTTGACATATTTGATAAATGTGACCTATAAAATGACTGAAGGTCCATTATCGATCACATCTGATAACCCTTCATAGCAGCAAAATTCTGGTCCATTAAAAAATTCTTGGTTATATGAATTTGAGGCGGTTTGGCCTAGTGACCTTGAAAGAGGACAGAGGTCATTCTTTTTAACAAACTTGCTACCCTTCATCACAGCATCTTGTTGTCTCTAACAATGATCCTAAAGTTAGTTTTCTGGTTATAAAGAGTAATTCAATAGAGAACAGAAATTTTACCCTACAGCAAGATTGAGCTAACTACAAATGTATAGTACAGCTTTCTCAAATCTTGCTCATACAAACCTTGTAAAATATCTCCAGTGTCTGTATCTTCCCACGTGCCTACGATAACTCTCCCTCCAAATGATTCCTTCATAATATTATTGTAGTCTTCTCCCACAATCTTAATGTTTCGTGTTAGGTCTCCTATTTCCGCTGCGATGGAGTAGGATGTTCCATTAAAGGTTTCCGCTCCAACTATATAACATAAAAATGTCAATGCTTGATACACAATAACATATTGAGATAGCGACAGAAGGGTGTAATACATGATATCTTTTATCCAAATTGTATTGTGGTGGACAAACAGCATGATTCTAGGCCTCATGGTTTTATAGAAGAAGTTGTTGAAAGGAACAATTATATGACTTCAGGTCAATTTCTGTAATATGTTTTCAAGGTTTTACCTAACTTGGTTAACCCAAAACTTTTATAGCCATCACCTATCTCCATGTTTTACCTGCACATCTGTCTCAAGTTACCTGTACATCAGTCTTGAATGACCTGTATGTCAGTTTCAAGTTACCTGTACATCAGTCTCCAGTTACCTGTGTGTCTGTCTGAAGTTTACCTGTACCTCAGTCTCCAGTTACCTGTGTATCTGTCTGAAGTTTACCTGTACCTCAGTCTCCAGTTACCTGTGTGTCTGTCTGAAGTTTACCTGTACCTCAGTCTCCAGTTACCTGTGTGTCTGTCTGAAGTTCACCTGTCCCTTAGTCTCCAGTTACCTGACCCTCAGTCTCCAGTTACCTGTGCATCAGTTTGAATTTTACCTGTACCTCAATCTCCAGTTACCTGTGTGTCTGTCTGAAGTTTACCTGTCCCTCAGTCTCCAGTTACCTGTGTGTCTGTCTGAAGTTTACCTGTCCCTCAGTCTCCAGTTACCTGTGTGTCTGTCTGAAGTTTACCTGTCCCTCAGTCTCCAGTTACCTGTGTGTCTGTCTGAAGTTTACCTGTCCCTCAGTCTCCAGTTACCTGTGTGTCTTGTCTGAAGTTTACCTGTATCTCAGTCTTGAGTTATCTGTCCCTCAGTCTCCAGTTACCTGTGCCTCACTCTCCAGTTACCTGTCCCTCAGTCTCAAGTTACCTGTCCCTCAGTCTCCAGTTACTTGTGCCTCACTCTCCAGTTACCTGTCCCTCAGTCTCCAGTTACCTGTATCTCAGTCTCAAGTTACCTGTCCCTCAGTCTCCAGTTACCTGTACCTCAGTCTCCAGTTATCTGTCCCTCAGTCTCCAGTTACCTGTCCCACAGTCTCCAGTTACCTGTATGACTGTACATCAATCCAGCATCGAGTTCCAGTACTGTTGTCTCTCCCTTATTACTGACAGATTTTATTCGTCGTTTCTCTGCTTCTTTAGCATTGTAACCCGTCGCCGTTATTAGGACTTCATCATTCACCTGCCAGTCTGTTACTCTAATTGCCAGAGTTACAAATGTGTCTCCAACAGCTGCTGAGTTGCCTAATGTAGTCCAAGGAATTTTAGGTCCTGTGCCATTCAGGGTCAGCCCTCCAAATGAAGCTGTATGTAAAGTATAAAAAGAAACTTTGATAAGGGGAGATAACTTATACTACTAACAGCTAACCACTAACCTAACTCAGGGTCAGCCCTCCAAATGAGGCTGTATGTAAGGTATGAAAGAAAAGCTTTGATAGGGGAGATAACTTATATTAATATCAACTAACCACTACCCCATCTTGACCAATTTCCAAAATACCATCAACATATCAAAATTTATTTAGCATAGGATCCCCTTCCTCTTCCTGTCTTTCTTTAACCAGTCCTTTTGCTGTGACATGCAAATTGTTTGGCTAAGCCTATAATAAGACCAGGAGGTCATCTTCTAAATTACAGTTTAAGAACAGGTCAGGTAGTATAGATGACCCCTCTCTCCCTTATTTCTGTATCCAACTCTTCCTCATCACTTTCTATTTTTCACTATCTTCTTATTTTCCTATCTTTTCTTGTGTATAATAGTGGAAGTAAAACACATTAAATTAAAAAAAAAAATTGGAATTATATTAGAATTAAAAATTAATATTAAATTAGGGGAGAACAGTTAAGTACAAGTAGATAACAGTGAAATTGATAAGTTTGTTTACCTTGGAGAAGTGTAGTAAGTATTTGTGAAGGTATAGCAACGAACATGAAAAATATCATTTTGATTTTATAGGAATATTTTTAACAATTACATCATATCAACTTAAAATTTAAAAATGTATTTTTTCACAAAAACATAGTTTCAACATTTAATACGTATTATGTATGAAGCTGAACCTCATTACCTCCAAGTTGTGTAACTCAAAGACCCTGTTAAATTCTGAGTAATTCATCAGTCCCTGCCAAACTTCATACCAAACATTCAAACTTAATTTAACTCCAATTCTTGGATAACTTGTAATTTCCTAACTGTCTTGCCTACTTCATAATAATGAAGTTTAACTGTTTCTATCAAAATTCTGAAGACATCCTGACCAAATTATACTGAATAAGGAGTACAGTATTATATGCATAATAGCCTATTGTCATGTGACCTGTAAGAATACAAATCGACTATATAACTGTATGTAAACACACCCAAAACTTTGGCACCAATGGGAATGTCTGCGCCACTCTCATGATGATCAGTGTAAACTGGTGTCCTACGACTGCCTAGCAACAGAAGAGTCGCCTTGCCAACGAATGCATCATCACATCCAATTATGAGCTGTCCGCCAATGATAACAATGTAAGTCGCTCTGATGACGATTTCTACATCTGCTTTATTCTGTACTGTTAACGTTCCTCGGATGATGAGCTTGTTCAGTCTTGCTGTTGAGGTGGTTCCCATGGTAACCCAAACACCTAAACCATCAACCAATCATAAACGGTTATGCATGTACCCAGATTGAGCTACGGTGTGTATGTTTAAATCTGATGTCAAGCTCTGATACAGAAATGACTCGGTTTCTTATAATGCATCTTGATAATATTCTTTCATAATTATTTTATGAAAAAATTTATGAAGAAACTGGTTATATTACATGACAATGATACAGTATTTGCTGACATTTATACTGTAACTGTAGTAGATGTGGATGTTTGTTTACATCACATGAACCTATTATAGGATAGATATGGCGATTTTAACAAGAATTACATTTAATTATACGCCCCACCTTTCCTAATTCATTAGTATAATGGTCATTTTAAGCAAAATGCATGATACACTGAAACCTGATTGCCTCCTCTGAAATACGAAATTTTCTACTGATTTTTTTTTAATGATATGTAACACCAAAGAAATATTTTTGTCATGTTCAAATACTGATGCATTATAAAACACAGCATAAAATTTTGTCAACAAAATTTAAATCAAATTGAAAAGCACGTGATAAAGACTTTAAGAAAATTCTGAAGTTTTCACAAATAAAAAGAAAATTGAAAATTTAATGGTGCATTCAAATGTCCCTACTAGATTGATGATGCTAATACAGGAAAACTCATAATGTAGTTTTGATTACTGGGATATTTCATCACAAGGAAACATGTTCATGGATAAGAAAAGTACACATACCAGCTTTTATCTCTACATTAGCACCGTCACCACACTTCTTTGGTGTTGTAAGCTCATTACAGAACTGTTTCCATGTTTTAATCACATGTGTGCTATCAGGGTGACAGCTTGGAGAGATATTCCTTCTGTCTGGAGTTACACAGCCATCGTATTTACACTTATACGTGTCCAACATTATCTGGTGATCATTAGAGTTTACCAATGATGAGGTCCTTACAGGTTCATCACGCAGAGAAGACACTAAATGGGAAAAAAATGTTAACTCACATAAACAATAATATGATATATAAACATCAGGTAACCATGGAAACATCTACAAAACTAATGATAGGTGATTCAATTTTGTAGAGTCATTAATTTTCATGGGAAATTTATTTTTGTTAGTTTTGTGCATTCATATGTCCATGAACTGTCAAAATTGTCATAATTAGATTTACTAAGCTCTGTCATCCATGAAATCAAATGTCCAAATTATTTTTTGAAAAACCACAAAGATATTGAGCTGCGATTCCACAGTAATTGAATCCTGAACTTTCCTGTATGACATATCTGAATTTTGAAAACACACTACAATAACTCTTGGAAATCATCAAACTTTTGGTAATGGTATTCTAGACTCATTGTTCTCACATCATTCCAAGGTAAGAAAACAGGAATACTGAGGAAAAGTCCTGTTAAGTTGGGTAGTTGACCACAATTTCCTAAGTACATCAGACCAGTGTATTGTATAGGTGGTTAAATCTAAATCTACTCACAGTTATGACAGATAGTACAAAATTAAATACCCGGTGAACATTTTTACAATGAATGAAAATCTCAGAAAATGTCTGTTTTGCTGTATCAATGTACATGATTTTATGCTCTTGAATTTTCCAAACCCTGGAAAACTGAAAAATATTAGAAGCTTGAAATTTAAAAACTATGTAAAAATAAACAATATGATTACCACAGTGTCACCTGACCTACGTAAATTTTCCTGTCTGTACACTAACAACTGTTATTTCAATTCTATGGACTAAATTATTTAAAATATGACAAAAAAGCTAAAATAGGTGTGTTTTATTTCATTTGGTTTGTACTTACACAATATTACATAAGAATATTATTCCCCTTACTTCAGTTCAACCTCGCCCAAAAACAAGCATCTTTCTAACCCTGACTACAACATATGCTTGGCTATCACACACACACCAGCTTTATTTTCTAGCAAGAAATGTAAGAAGGGGGGAGGCAGGGAGGTAAAAAGTGTGGTAAGTCAATCTCATTCATAAAATTATAAATGGAAACAAAATTTTTCAGTTTTACACAGTGTTGCCAGTTTTAAGTTTGGAGTTAAATGTTTTGACTTTGCAATTATTTTACACACATTTATTCATTTTTACGATGGAAATGTATTCATTTGTATGAGGAATGCATACATAGTAAGCACATTCACCGACCTATATAACACAGCCTCTTTGTGTCCTCGTGGAAGTACCAAGTTCCATCCTTGTCTGATGGCGTCAAAGCCGAGGTCGATTCTGGACATTCAATTTTTCCATTGTAGAAAAATTTGTCTGGCTTAGCCTTCATCTTATGACATAAAATGAGGAAATTCACAGTGTCTTCTGGATCCTACAAGTCCATAAAGGAAGAAGTGTAAATACATGTTCTCTTCAAACACTCCAATGACTTGGATTTAAGTTTGGAAAAAGGTTATATAAATGCCTTTGAAAAAAAAAGTAAGCTTTTCTTTACAATGTAATCAAGTAACTATCAATGTAAGCTAATTTACTGAGTAATAAGTGCTGTCAGGGACGGGTTATGCTCCCAAATCAGTACAAAATTTAAGTATTAAAAATAAAAAAGGGCAATAAGAAAGTTATGATTCTTGTGCAATGCCCTCCTACTTGTTGAGATCTATCTACCTAGGAATTTTCAGGATAATACCTGTCATAGTGTTTGTGTAATCCTCTAGCCAAAATTTCAGTATGAAAAATAACAAAGGGCTATAACTCCTCAATTTTGCAAATGAGTGTGATGGTTCTTGTGCACTGCACTTCTCTATCTATCTATGAAGTTTAATGTTGATACCTCTTATAGTGTTTGTGTTATGGTACTGACAAAATTGTGACAGACTGACAGACAAAGCAGTGACTGGATGCTCTCCCTTTGGGGATCATATAAATATATCCTTTTTTTGCAAGGAGGAATGTTGTCATATGAATGTTTGATATAAAATAGTTGTTTTAAGTGATTCCTTATGTCAGAGAATTTTGTCGACTAATGATGATATCCTTTATATAAGTTATTGGATGTTTCCAGTAATGTGAAAAATTATCACAAACCTGATGTAAATCGTAAACCATTCCTGAATAGCTTATGTTATTCAAATGATTTGGTTCTTCAAACTCCAAAAGAATTTCATTTTTGTTCTCCATCAGCAGCATGGTCCATCCCTGTTTTTGTGCCTGACATTTAGGAGAATAGAGGCTAAAGAAAGACCCTCCCATGTATGTCGCCTTGAGACGTTTCCCCGCTTTTGTCGAGATACTATCTACATTCAATGTCAGGCGATGAAATACTGTTTCAGCAGGGCAAAGGCAGACTTCCATATTGCCAGAGTTAAACAGATTCTTTGAGGAAAAATCTTTTGTGCAGACACTGAAAAAGTATTTAAACATTTATTTCTCGTATTGAATGGACATTTATCACATAGCACTGTCTACTATTCATTGTCAGTGCCACTAGACATTACTAGACATTGGTTTGTCTTCTATAAATATGTATATACATTTATCCTGCAACTGTGCTGCCATTGTCGGAATACACCTACCATATATATATATATTTGCTGTATTCTGCAGTGATGGAAAACAGTTGTATTTTAGCATGTGTATTTAACAGAATCACTTTCATTTCATTTCAAACTACACATAACTGTTTAGAGGAGTGTTTTGAACAAACAAGCTTATTTTACAACATTAATAAAATTACTTTTTGTATCCACTAAAGTATAGACCTATATTCCTGCGCAGTGTAATTAATTTGACGTGCGTCCTCAGGTGAAATGTCAATGTCAGCTAAAAAACTTTGAATAGATCTAACAAATTTGAAATTTCAACAGTCTGAATTATTAATAAGAGTTGCAGGATAGATACAATAAATGCCAATGTCTTAAAATATAAGTTGTATTTTGGTACGGGTGCAGAAAGAGAAAAATTGAGAGCTTATATCATAAGACAATGACCATGTATTCTCTATATATTAATGTAAATGTCATACACATTACACATATGACAGTCTATGACATTATGACGTATTGGTAGTGTAAAAATAAGTATAACCAAGTAAATGAAATGATGATAAGGTAAATTGTTTTACAGTAAACAGTAAAGAATGAAATACTTACCTGAGGAATGGTGGACTACAAACCACCAGCTTCCCTGGTTCATTAGAGTCAGTTAAGCTGCCATCGTCTTCAATTATACCGGAACGGTCTGACGGGAACAGAACACGTTGTACAGTGTTGATAAACACTGCCTGTGTCACCCTATAGTGATAGCCAGCACAATCAGCATAACAGGTGCTTGTTTTAGTTGGAAATGAAAAGGCACTTGAGCCAAGTGTGTCATAATTCACAAATGTAACACCGTCAACTTTACCAACTTTTCCACAGGGAAAGACAACTCCGTAAGTTGTGATGGCAGCTGAGCCATCTCCAACATCCCATTTGGGATGTAAAGGAAGCATGGGATCATATGCTACATACACTCCAGCTTTAAGACCAGTGTGATCCTGGAATATGTCTCCACTGTGGTGGTCCGACATTATTTGGATTTCTACACTTGTCAATTCATTATGTAGCGAATACAGATTTTCGATGAGAAGAGCACTGACATCAGTCATTTCTGCAGCCTTTTTACATAAATATGCTGTAAATTCCTCGAATAATGCCACTGATGGTGTTTCATCAAAGCCTTCGTTAGACGGATAATACTCATGTAAAACCCACAGTCCATACTCTCCCATGGAGTGTGCAGTATTACCGTAAAACTTCCTAAATGGGCCATTCTTTGGTTTGAAATTATCGTTCCGTGACATCCCATCAGAATGTTTATCAAAATTGTACCAGAATCCAAAGTGTGTTCCTCCAGCTGCTACATTGTCCTGTATAATATTGTCTGGATTTGTGATGAAAAAAGCCGCTGGTGTGAGGTCCTCGCTATGCAGGCTGGGAGAGGGTTTAACCAGGAATGCAAGGTTATTTTGCATTTGGTTTCCCATCTCCGTCCCATCCTCGAGGAAAATTCCACAACCAGTCACATTGTAAAAGACATTGTTCCCCACCAATAAATTGTTAGTGGTACGAATGTTTAAAGCCCGATTAAATGTGCCGTGAATCGCTGAGCTGTGGACATACGATTTAGATACGTCACCATTCATATGGAAGTGGATTGGATGCCTACCATTACCGAAGGTCTGTCCAGCCTGTGTAATTTCTGTGTTGTTTATACGAACAATGACCATATCATTGTCAGGTTCTGCAGCATGAACGAAAATCTGTGCTCCAAACTGATCTGATGAAGTCTCTTTTCCAAATCTTCTGTTGTAACACATCTCGGTCGCAAATTCACCTGTGATAGAAAATCAAGGAATCAAATCTTCAGTAAAATTGTCCATTTTTCCAACTGATACAAAATATTCATGAATATCAAAACATCTAATTTCAATATGGCGCTGTTTATACACTGTAAATTTCAGTATTTTTCAGGTTACTGTAACCCCTGGAAAATTTAGAATATATTATTTTCTGGACGAGGAGTATGTAACCTTGGTAAATACTAACTGCAAATACCGATTGGATAGAGAGAACTTCTCTTTAGCTTGATTGCTTGAGCATAAGACTAGTAAGTCAGGGGTCCTGGGTTCGAATCCTAGCAGAGGCATTGAAATAAACAATGGCGTCTGATACATAGGAAACATAAACTCTCACCAAATCATACCTGAATCCAACCCTTTCTGACATGCTTCAGCCTTTTCTGGGACAGCATCTGTGTTGGTACCCATGACCTTGACATTGTGACTAAGCAGACCAACTTCTGCTCTCACTTCAAAATCATGATCACCATGTCTCAGTGTAATTCCTAAGTGTTCAAACTGAAGAGGCTCCACAAAAGTCAGAGTGTAACCATCATCAGATATGTCTTCAATCATCCTGTAAATTGATACAAAAACCTTATCTTACAGTAATGGTATATTTGACCTTGAGTTCCAGTGTTTGTTGCCAAGAACTTTTCCTTGACCAGAATTCTACTTTGTTTGTGACCAATTAAACCAAGATTTTAAAGAAAAGATAAAGCAGGGAAAATTTTATATTTAAATAGATTTTGAAAATATATATCAAAATTTATTTGATTGATTTCTTTTACAGAAAGATAAGATGACAATCAACATTTAAACCTTTTTATACTGCTACCATTATACAAAATACCTTGTTATACTGTCACCATTATACAGTAAAACCTTGTTATACTGTCACCATTATACAGTAAAACCTTGTTATACTGTCACCATTATACAGTAAAACCTGGTTATACTGTCACCATTATACAGTAAAACCTGGTTATACTGTCACCATAATACAGTAAAACCTGGTTATACTGTCACCATTATACAGTAAAACCTGGTTATACTGTCACCATAATACAGTAAAACCTTGTTATACTGTCACCATTATACAGTAAAACCTTCTTATACTGTCACAATAATACAGTAAAACCTTGTTATACAGTCAACATAATACAGTAAAACCTGGTTATACTGTCAACATTATACAGTAAAACCTTGTTATACTGTCACCATTATACAGTAAAACCTGGTTATACTGTCACCATTATACAGTAAAACCTGGTTATACTGTCACCATTATACAGTAAAACCTGGTTATACTGTCAACATTATACAGTAAAACCTGGTTATACTGTCAACATAATACAGTAAAACCTGGTTATACTGTCACCATTATACAGTAAAACCTTGTTATACTGTCACCATTATAGAATAAAACCTTGTTATACTGTCACCATTATACAGTAAAACCTTGTTATACTGTCACCATTATACAGTAAAACCTTGTTATACTGTCACCATTATAGAATAAAACCTTGTTATACTGTCACCATTATACAGTAAAACCTTGTTATACTGCCAATAGTTTACAATAGAATCTAGGCATTATAAAGGGGTGAGACAAGCTGCTAATCAACTTCCTGACCAGATCTTCTGCCAACAACGACAGTGTGCTCTAAATCACCATATCTTCCTTACCTGGTTTCTGTTTGCTCCTGTGAGGCTTTGTTGCCTGTTGTTGCTATGACGATGAGGTCACCTGACCTCCAGTTGACAGGGTCAATGAGGACAATATGTGTGTCACCCTTTGCTGCAGTGGCTGCTAGCTTTGACCATGGTGATCGAGGTATACCTATGTGTATATGCACAACAGTTTTCAATAGTTACAATGACATCACAATGTCCTGACCAGGGCTGATAATGATGAAATGAAAAAACACACAACAAACATATATTTCTAATGTAATTCTGGACTCTAACATCTCATAATGATACATATTTGGTTCTTCCTCATTATGCTTAATAATTAAACAAAATTTGATCTAGATCTAACTTTCCTTATTTAAGGATTAATTACAGTTTAATATTTAAATTGTTACCATGGAGATCAAGCGTTCCCTCCCGAACAGCTATCACCTTGGAGCCATAGAGTGGCAGAAGAGTCTGCTCTAGGTAGTGACCATGTAGTAATATAGTAAGGTAACTTGTGTAGGGTTTGTCTTCCGTACCAACCTGTCATCAATAAAGAGGATCACATTACATGAATAATTTATTTACAGACAATTCGACATATAGACAAATAAAGAGGACGACTTTTTGACCTAATCATCGAGTCCTTGTGGTGCACCCCTATATAGTAGCTGGCCATCTGTCTTGTTGTGTGATGTGATTCCAATTGGAAAAATGAAGATGATGACAGTCTCTCAAACTATCTACAAAGCTGCAATTAAATAGAAGTCTGGAATTTCTCAGAAAAGCAATCTCATTATGACAAGTTTGTCCAGTTTAGAGAAATCAAGACGAGACAATACAGTCTTTAAAATGTCCAATAACCGGCTTTACATATTGGCTGATGGGTTGAATTCTGTGTAATATTTACATCCTTCCAGAGAACTGAAAATCCTTCAGAAATTCTGAATAATTGTGTTTCTACTGAAATTTGAAAAATTAATTTTTAATCAGAGAATGAAATATATTAATAAAAAAAAGAAGACTTTAATATTTGGTTAATTTATTAACAAAAATATTTTTAAAGCTTTTTGCTCAGTAAGAATACAGCCCATGAACCACTAAGATTATTTTGTGGATGGTGGTTACCTCACTGAACAACATACAGGAGGCCCATTGCACCACATCAAGAGCAAATAGGGTACAGTGTCTTGTTCAAGGACACAAACACATTGGCAGAGACTGATCCATATCTGAGAAAAATAAACTACAACAGGTAGGGGGCGTCAAACCACATATCTCAGAAATTCATCTGAGGTTATAATTAAATGTTGACTGACTTGGCAGTACAAGCACTGTATCTACAGATTCCCAATCATCAGAGTTTTACCTGAGTTTTCTAATAACTTACCTGTAACTTTCCCTGGTTGATGATGAGGATGTTATGTGCCTGTAGAAGAATGCTGCTCTTTGTTTCATCAAAGATTACTGTACCACCTAAAAGACACATCCAACCAAAATTAAAGTCATGCATTCTTTACAACCAATCATGTCTGCTTTTACTTATTTATTTCCATTATGACCAATGAAAACTATTTTTATATTTCCTTTATATCCAATCAACATTTCTGTTTCTTATTTTCCATTTAGCCTATGAAAATTTTTGTCATACTGCAGATGTTGTATTTTGTCAATGGTTAAATATAAGTAGTTTCACCAATACCTTGGAACAAGAAAAATGCATTTTTCATGAAAATCATGAAATAGACTTTATTCTATGTTATGATAATTTTCCTAGGTACAAGTACATGAAATGGTATCTATCTTTGGACACCCTTAAAAGAAACAAATAATGACACTCCTCTGATAACAGCCTTAACAGTATTTTAACAAACAAATTTAATGGTCATTGATGAAGAAAGATAATAAACGCCAGAACACTGACCATCAATAACAAGCATGGTGAGGACTGGAACTTCTTCCACATCAATCATCAGTGTCATCTCTGAAGACACTACCACAATGTCTCCCGCTATCGGAGGCGATGACCCACCCCATGTAAACGATGACGAATATTTGTCAACAAACTGGAATTCTAGAACATCCTGGAAAGGAATATTTTAAAATCAGCAATTTTAAATTTTGAAGTGTTCTCAACAACAATGAATCTTGATATTAAGGGAAAGCCTACGAAGAAGACACTGTCAAATTGTAAAGTTGGTTCTACAAATTTGAAAGCCAAATTCTCAAGCAAGCATTTACATAAATACAACTACACATTTGACCCCTGTGACCTTGAAAAAGAGTAAAGGTCATTTATTTCACACAATTTGTACCCCTCATACCAACACCCTTTTTATTATAGAGAAGAAGTTGTTCAAATAGTTGAACACATACGACCTCTATGACCTTCAAAGTAGGTCAAGATCATTCATTTGAACAAACTTGGTAGCATATAAAAGGTCCAATATCAGCTCCTTGGTCTTTTTCCTTATTGAGATGTCAACTTAGTCTTTCATTTGAACAAACTTGGTAGTCCTTCTTCCAGCACTGTGCCTTTTGGTACTTTGAAAATATTAGCATATTTGATGCTTGTGACCTTGAAAGTCTGTCAAGGTCATTTATTTAAGAGAAACTGGGAAGCCCTTCATCCAAGCATGCTTTATAACCCTGTGTCTTTTGGTTATTGCAAAGAAGTCATGAAAACATCAGCATATTTGACCCCTGTGACCTTGAAAGTTGGTTAATTTATTTGAACAAAACTTGGTAATGCTTCATCCTAGTAAATTATAGGCTAAATATCAGAACCTTGGTTTAAAAGTAAGAGAGAAATTGTTTAAAGTAATAAGTTGATGACAGTCCAAATGAAGGATGCCCCTCCTAGGCATAGGCCCATTTTCTTTGTGTGCAGTAAAGCTAATAAAATTGTAATACTTACATCCTGTGCAAAGGGAGACAGCTGTGCAGGTTTACTGTTAATAAGCATGCTAACAGCTCCAGATCTCCTTGTTCCTCCAGATGAATTTGTGACACAAATCACAGAAGTGTCTTGAATTGGAGACTGCACGACACAGACCACTCCAGCAGTGTCCACCTTCACCTTATCTGCATCATCCCTAGCAACATAAAACAGTTCAAGGTCAAATCATAACACTAACCTTTCTGCACTGATGAACAAGAAATCACAAAACTTGATAATCTTGTAAAAATCTTTACCCAAAGTTTGAGCCTGTAATAGTGACCCTAGTTCCTCCTGCTGTGCCTGCAGACTGAGGAGTGACATTCTCAATGACAGGGTCAGCCGCAGGATCATCATATTTATAGCCGTCTGTTATAACTTGATGCAAGTTATCCTGGTCAATTTCTACATCAACACAACCTGGAATAAAAAAGTGTTGTAGATTTGTTTACTTTAATGTGAAAGAATCACAAAGAAAAGACTAAAACTTTCTAATGGTAAACAATTAGAACTTTTTTTCTTAAATTTATTTATTTCAGAATTCTTCATTCAAAATATAACTTAAGTTATCAATTTCTCAGTACATTTTTGGGTCTTGTAATGAAAATTTTGTTTTTGTTAATGGATATAACTTAAACTATTCCCAATATTTTGTAAATTCACACGGAATATCATTACTGACAAATGGATATTTTACATTGACAATAAGACTCCATGAGAATAATATATTTGTACCAGAACCAGGAGGTGCTAAGAACACAAGTCTTGTTGAGGAAGATAATTCTGTGAGGATGTCGCACTCTGAGTTTCCAAAGAAGACAGTTGTGGCATCAGGGTTGAATCCAGCCCCAGACATGGTGACTTTCTGACCACCACTAGGAGGGCCTGGAAAAGATGTAAACAAAACATCATTGTCTGCTGGCCTGTATATGTATAGAATTCATCCTCCTATGATACATTCTTTAGATGTTTATATTTTCTTATTGATAAAAAACCAGCTCCAACATGAAAATTTGGTAATAGAAACCTGAAAGGTGGGGGTAGGGAGGTAGGGGGTAGGGGGGGTGGGGGGAGGGGGTGGGGGCTGATGGTATAAGAATTTCTTTTCTATTGACATGAAGTGTAAACGTCAAGAATGTTCCTTAACTTAAGGAAATCTTAACATAGGTTAAGGAATAACTTAAATTTAAGGATGTTTCCTTAACTTGTTGTAATAACTTCCTATGGGCAATTATACGTGAAGGAATAGTCAGTAAGTAGGGAAAGATTCATGACACTTTAAATTGTGTATAAGGAAATGATGTACAGAGAGTATGTATTTATGGCTATCAGAGATTATTTGTCAAGAAGGGATCTACATCTGTGTAGTATGTAACATTAGTTTAACCTGAAGGTTTTTATAAAAAATGAGTAGTGTTCTCTAACACCCCAAAATGGGGGTATAACAACCCCCCCCCACCCCACCCACCACAGGGTACAACCCCCCACCCCACCCCACCCCTCCACATACAACTTCATTGATGAATCCTAAGACTTAATGTATCCACAGTTAGACCTTTAACACTGTGATCATATGTGAGGCAACGTTTCGTTTGATTTCAGTCAAATCTGCTTCAAAATTTCATGACAGGATATTGACCAGTAGTACCCTGAAATATAATACATTTTTGACAGTACGTTTTCAGTTCTATTTTTAGAAACAGAGACCTTGACCTTGACTTTAGAAACCATTTCAAATTCCTAAATCCATATTGCATATATCTACCTATCACAATGTTTGATCTTCTGTGTGAGCCTCATCAGATTGATTTTACCAGTATATTCCTGGTTCTATTTTTAGGAACAACAACCTTGACCTTGACATAAGGAACTTCTTAAATCTCTATTGCGCATTCACATGTCACAGAGTATGATCATGTGAAAATTCAGAAAGTTTGGCCTCTAGAAGCAAAAAAGCTGACAGACAGAGGTTAGACAGTGCGATTCCTATCAACCAGGGGTACTTGCATGTTGTAGCTCTAACTCAAACATGTAATTTAATTTCTACTCACCTATTTTTGGATTGAGTTGTTTATCCACGATCAACAAATAAGTAAACATGCTTGTCTCTCCTTCTGGTGCTGAACGTCCATATCCAGGTACAATGACAACAACATCAGTCAAACCAGCCGCATGGTCACCAAGCTTACAAACAATAATCTCGGCAGATTCTATCTGAACAGCACAAATTGATCCCCCAACATAAACTTCTCGTGATTCAGCATAAAAAAACTCTCCTTCTATGGTGATTTCCTGTCCAGCAGTTCCTTCGACTGGATCCACACCACTTATCACAGGAGTTTTATCCAGATTGTAAGCAAACTGAATTGTTGACCCAATCACAAATGTTGACCCCAATGTGACCGCCACAGGTTGCGAGCCTGCAACATCATCTGTGGGGGGCAATTCACAAACCAGTTGACATGTGGAAACCGTCCCTGACACTAGGCAATCCTTACCACCAATAGTAACAGTAGTGGCGTCATCATAGAAAGCATTACCTGCTACACCGACAAGAACGCCGCCATATATACTCCCCGATTGTGGCGACACCGCACTAACTGCTGGTCGACCAACAATCCAGAACGGGGTATCGCTCTGAGCTGCTCCGATGAAATCAATGTTTACCTCGACTAGATGTGGCTCGGCTGTAAGACATGCAATCTCACAGGTTACTATATTGTCCTTCACAGATTTCACCGCACATCTGATTCTTTCCTCACCAAGGGTAACGTGGACTTTGTTTATTTCCGTACCGAAACCGTGACCACCTAAAAATATTGTTGTTAATCCAAACACTTCTTTTGGGGAAACTGATGTTAATTTAACAGCATGCATATATCTAAAAGACAACTGTGGGGAGAGAACTCCGTCTGGACTGTCGTTGTGTATGAACTGAACAGCACGACGTGTATCTCCATTTCTGTCAGCTGATGAGGACATTGGTGGTGTTCTACATTTCACTTCTGTAAAAGACTCTTCCAATATCTCACATTCTACTCCTCCCACCATTGGAGTGCCTCCACTGAGTCCCACTCCGGAGATCACAAGAGTTGTTCCACCTGCAACCGAGCCTTGCTCTGGTCTTGCACTAATTACTCTGGAACGGAGTTGGAAATTTGGGTTTGGCAGAGCAAGAACACTGTAACCTAGCTCCTTGATTCTAATGGTGATTGGTTCACTCTGTCCAACCTACAGAAAGAAAACAGAAAGAATTAGGAAAGTATAATTCATGGAAAGTATACCTTACCATGTAAACAAAAATATATATTTTCATATCTAATTATAACTACTAGATATATGTGTAAGTCCAAAGTGCAGAAAGAGGTTAAGATGAAGAAAGGTGAGATTTATTTTTATTTGAGAGATTTTGTCAACAACACCCAACATCATCGTTAAGTAAACAGACTCTAAAAGTCTAACGATTAAAGTATAATCACCACCATATCTGTCCCTGGATCAATCCGACAAACAAATCCACCCTCCATCTGTCTATGGACTCTGCAGATCTTGGTTCCCATGGTAACCTCATTGTGACACAGCTGGTTGCCAGGTAACGATGTCTTTATAGTGATGTCATCATTGTCTGTAGCTACTGTTGGCGAAACTGAGGTAATGACAGCCCCCAAACATGGAAGGAATGAGAAGTGAAACAATCTTGTTGATGAAGGAACAGGAGGAATACAATCAGGGACAGATAACTCACAATCACCACAATCGATTGTCTCCCCTGGAAGAAAAATGAAAATAGTACTGTGAAATTTTATATTTTTGAGGTTTCTTTGTTTTTCCATTAAATGCAATTTTTTGGAAAATTAAATTTGCTTGATAAATTGTAACAATATATCTACTTATCCTTATTTTAAGAGTCTAAAGATAAACAAATTCAAATACCCACAAAATCAATGAAAATCAATTTTCCTCTAAAATTAATAACTTTAAAGAAATTACTTAAGAAGTACATAAATGTTGCTTCACTATTTATTTCATAACCTCAGGGAAGAGAACCAACACAGTTAAGTGGTGGATCCTGATATCCTTTGCTTGGCTACCACATGCTATATAGGGTGACTGAAGGTTTAAGGGACAAACTAAGGGAGATAACCAATAGCATCAAGCTTGGGATAAGTTGGTTCTTGTTAAGTTTAACCATCAACCAGTTCACCCAGAACTTTGGCCTTATAAGGAAAGGATGATATGTATTAAAAAAGTTCTCTCCTGAAGTACATGTAATGTTGGCACCCTTCATTATGATTTACATAAAAGAGGTCATGTATGTGATGTTCTAAATTCTAACTTTTATCACAGTTTCTATCAGTTACTGAATGTTTACATTAAATACTATATATGCTATTGTTCCTGAATGTAATATATATCCTTAGTTCATTGATATCTCAAAAATAGATATAAAATTAGATTTCTATTAAAAATTAATAAATAATTACGATTTATTTCATATTTATTTCATTATAAGTTCTGTGGATAAGTTCCTCATTTATCTCCCTTTGTTCCAGTTCTTCTCTGTTTACCTGAATCTACAATATGCAATGCTGTGTATTTTGTCTTCTCTCCGATTGTTACAGTAATGGGTACACTGCTTGCTGTTTTCTCTGACACTCGAAATTGTGCCCGGAATGAAATTGTTGGAGAATCCACAACATCCTGGTCGAGATAACGACTCCAGAAGTAAAAAACACCTGCCTTGCTAAGGTCTGTTTTGTAGGATCCTATCAAAAAAATTTCATTTAAACGTTGTAACATGTTGCAACATTTATACATTGTATCAGTTATACATTGTATCATACAAATGTATATACATTGTAACATTTATACATTGTAACATTTATACATTGTGATACTTATAGTAGATTGTAACATTTATACATTGTGATACTTATAGTAGATTGTAACATTTATACATTGTGATACTTATAGTAGATTGTAACATTTATACATTGTAACATTGTAATATATAGACATTGTATCATTTCAACATTGTAGTTAAAGTTTTCATACTTTTACCAAAATTTATGAAATTGCCTTCAGGATTTTTTATCAATTTTATTTTTTCAATTTGTTTAGAGAAATGTGATCAGATATAAAAATCTATCCATTAACAGAACACTTTGTTGTACTGAAATAAATATGAATTGTGAAAATACCTTGGTGAACAGGAACTCCACTGTTAAATCCATGTAACATCTCCTCAGTTCCTGTCCCATTTCTCAACTCATAAACACCCATCTTAAATTCATCTTTAGAAGTTTTGAATGACCAACGGATGGTGTCACCGATGTAGTACTGACCATTTCGGGGATGCCAATTATAACCAGTACCTAGCTCTGGAACAAAAGTTTCATCAATTTCAACAACCACAACAAAATGTCTGAGAGCCAAAATTAGTTGTCTTTGAAAGGATAATATTTTCGCTGATTTGTAGGGTATTCATGTAATTACGAAACATTTGTGAAACATGTAATAGTTGTTGTTATCCAATATATACAATAATGTAATACAACACAAAACTATATTGTCATATTACTATCAACACTAGGGAGATCCTACAGTTTGAACAATAAGTACTGTTTGAAGCAGCTGAGTTACATCAACATGACACGATTTATATTTTGCAATGAGCAGAACACCAATTACCATCATTAGTGAAACAAGTGAAGAAGTCTAAAATGTGTTTTCAAGATGGCGGCCATGGCTGCCATGTTGGATTTTGGACCAACCCGAAATTAACAAACTTTGGTCAGGATCATGTCATGATCATTTCAGGTAAGTTTCAGCTCAATGAGACATGTATAACTTGAGAAGAAGTTGAAAATGTTTATGACGGACGACGAACAATGCTGGACAAAAGGCAATTGCAATAGGTCATCAGACCCTTCGGTCAGATGACCTAAAAACCCTGTAAAATCTTACATGTACTTAAGTAACTTGTTTCCATATTCTGAAGTCATGTGACTTCAACTAAACATTATAATAGATATATAATCTTTTTTGTGATATCAAGATTGTTAAATTTTCAAATTAAGCATAAAAATTGCTAAAATCCAGACTTGCGAAAAATAACCTGAAATATCTTCAAAAAATTTGCTCTATATGCACCACAGGCTACTTTCCTTCCATTATCTCTATACAGCCTTGAAATCAGATATAAACTCTTTCTTTTTGTTTACTTGAATCAATTTCCTCAATAAATACCGATGTGGAAAAATTATGATTAGAAGTTGTGGCCAAATACTCTGTCAAAATCGTGAATTTTCAGAATTATTTTCATTGATTTAATCCAAGAATTCATATGTTCATGAACTGTTACAATTTGTAGACAGAGCTATATCTTCAAAATCAAATGTCTGCAAAAAATTTTAGTGCTTTTTTTGGAAACAATGAATATTGAACCCAATGTAAATTTATATTACAGTACTAGCTTAATTTTGGGTTGTTATTATTTCGCAGTTGTTGCAGTTTGGGCAAGTTTGCGGGTTTTAAATTTCGTGTGATCTCCATGTATGTGTACAGATATGTTCATTTATATGGTAAAAATGTTTGCTGGGTACTGAATTATGCACCATCTCCACTGACTGCGAACATATAGAAAAATTAAATCTCCATCAAATATTACCAATTACACATTACTGTCAGTAATGATAGGATGACATACTAGCACTATATCCATTGTTTGTGACGGTGTGTGTCTTCCCTGTTCTGGTCACCTGACACATGAACTCAGTTGAACTAAAGGTCACAGGGTCAATCACACAGGCATGGCTTCCAATGGTTGTGGTGAGCTTTGAGGGGTCGTCTCCAAACCCAACTCCTTTAAAGGTCACTCGGGTGCCGCCGTAAACAGAACCCACGGGTGGATGTACCGCTGTGATAGCAAACTGGTACTCAATCTGAAGATTGTTCCTGGCAAATAAAAAAATCTGGAATGGTAACTAGATATATACAGGAGATTCACAGGCCAAAACATGATTTTTTTTACAGGATAATGAAATAGCAATACTTTATAACATTTGCTGGTTTATTGGTACAGTGTTAGGACCTTTCACTAAAATAATCAGCAGTTTTGTACAGATATAATTATACATATTCAGTTTGATAAATACAATTAATATTTTATATCAGCATCTGGAGTACTTCAAATATATTTAAAAAATTTTGAATATTTGATTGAAGTAGTTAAGATTTCAAACTGAATAATTCACTAAAATGTTCTTTTAGAATACAAGTTGCTATGGTAATGAAAGTGAATGGGAGCAGGATGGGATGAAACATGACATCAGATGGGAGGGACAGGATGGAACATGACATCAGATGAGATGGGACAGAAACAGGATGGGATGGAACATGACATCAGATGAGATGGGACAGAAACAGGATGGGATAGAACATGATATCAGATGAGATGGGACAGAAACAGGATGGGATGGAACATGACATCAGATGGGAGGGACAGGATAGGACAGAAACAGGATGGGATGGAACATGACATCAGATGAGATGGGACAGGATGGGACAGAAACAGAATGGAATGGAACATGACATCAGATGAGATGGGACAGGATGAAACAGAAACAGGATTGGATGAAACATGACATCAGATGAGATGGGACAGAAACAGGATGGGATGGAACATGACATCAGATGAGATGGGACAGAAACAGGATGGGAAAGAACATGACATCAGATGAGATGGGACAAAAGCAGAATGGATGGAACATGACATCAGATGAGATGGGACAGGATGGAAACAAGCAAAGTGGGATGGTATCATGGAATTGGAAGGCATAAGATGGGTCAGAAGGGATGGGATGAGAAATTATAGGACAATACAGAACAGAATAATCCTGATTAGTTAAAACTTCACATCTCCATCCTTCTAGTTCCAACCAATTTTTGATGCCATATACAGATTTGATTTTGAGACAATTCACAATTAACAGACCAAAATCTATTACCTTAAGTTGTCAGTACAGTTAACTTACTCGTTCAAGGCGAAACCATGTTGACACTGTATCTTGATGGTGTAGACGCCAGGCTCGGTACCGGGCATCAGCGCTTTAGCTTCTGTGTCACTGACCACATGCAGATCAGTGGATATGTCACTGGCAGACTGACCATGACTGACCAACTTCACCAGGACAAGTTTTGTACATACCCCATGTTTAAATCCAATTCCAGTAAAATTAACACTTTCTCCACCTAAAGGGGAAAAACATTTTCTGATAATAAGATATATGTTGATATTTTGCAAAATACTGAAGGAATTGCATAACAGATTTTCAAAATTTTGATAATTTCAAATTATATTATTTTATCTATATATCATATCACTTGTTTTTCTGACAATGTTGTGATAATTATTGTTTTCCTGATGTCAATAATATCATTTTGTTGGTTTGAGTTTAAACATTATGTCAAAGTCTGTCTATGCCTTAATTCTACTTGTTTGGATTTGATACTCACATACCTAACACAGAAGGACGTAGAACTGACAGGATCCTGGCTGTGACTACAGTTACATACCTAACACAGAAGGACGTAGAACTGACAGGATCCTGGCCTGACTACAGTTACATACCTAACACAGAAGGATGTAGAACTGACAGGGTCCTGGCCATGACTACAGTTACATACCTAACACAGAAGGATGTAGAACTGACAGGGTCCTGGCCGTGACTACAGTTACATACCTAACACAGAAGGATGTAGAACTGACAGTGTCCTGGTCTTTACTACAGTTACATACCTAACACAGACGGATGTAGAACTGACAGTGTCCTGGTCTTTACTACAGTTACATACCTAACACAGAAGGACGTAGAACTGACAGGGTCCTGGTCTTTACTACAGTTACATACCTAACACAGAAGGACGTAGAACTGACAGGGTCCTGGTCTTTACTACAGTTACATACCTAACACAGAAGGATGTAGAACTGACAGTGTCCTGGTCTTTACTACAGTTACATACCTAACACAGACGGATGTAGAACTGATAGTGTCCTGGTCTTTACTACAGGAGTGACTGATGAACTTGAGTCATAAGTGAACTGTTGAAGACTAGAATCCTGTTTCTCACCAATTGTAACATAGACATTTTTGTTACCAGAAGCCTGCAATGAAATTAAGGAAATCGTTATTTTCAAGATATCTGTATCTTTCATAACAATCAAAACTTACTTTCCAAATTATTGAATATCAAATTTTTTTCTGTGAACAAACAGAATTATATTGATCATTTATGCTTTCAAAGAAAATTAAAGATGAAGACAATATTACTTGGAAATTTTTAACATTTAACATACAGGTAAATAAGAAGACAGGAAATGTACCTGAGCAGGTGTTCGACAAGTGAATTGAGAAGTTGTGACAAGTGGTTCTATTGGACAGTTTGCAGAACCAATCATAACCGACACATTTCTAGGAATACCATATCCAGTAAATGTCAAGAGAGTTCCACCTGGAAAGAAAATCATGATCTTAATCAAAAACCAAATTGTACTTAGAAAATATAATTCACGTTTGAATCTGATTCCTGTCCTTTCATTTTACAATTTGGAATTGTTTTAGTCTGTTCACGTCCTTGGCTTTATTTCTCTGCAACTTTTCCTCTCGCTAGGCCTTGTCTAATCCATCATTTAGATTTCCATTTATTTGTGATTCTTTGAACCATTAGTTAATGATTTGTGTCAGTTTCCATAAAGGAACAATCAGGGTCACAGAAATGCTTATACATAATGTATTTTAATAAGGGTCTAAAGGATCAAGATTGAGATTAACTTCCTCAAGCTTGAATGAAGCTTTCTATAGTTATGGAAGCTATATATAGATCACTAAATACATCTTACCCGCCAGTCAACAAGATCTTACTTAACCTAGATTATAAGCATAGAATCCCAAATGAGATTTTACGGTGTTTTATGAAACTTTACTCCTAGAAGTTTATTTTTGTGAGCCATAGTAAGCAAATGATAAAACATGGAAATGAGTTCCAGAAAATGTCACATGAAATGAAAACAAATTTAACTACTCTAAAGACACTATTTATCACATATCTTAGAAAAGCTACATTTTGACATGTTTTAAAGTGAAAATTTGGAGGACAAAGCAGAGGCACCCTGTTATATTGTTCCACCATTTTTAATTCATGATGTTATGCTACTATCCATATTAGGACATCACAATAGATTTCTGACTGGCACAGCCAATGAAAAAATCACTCCACAATATATATTACATCTAATGACCTATCTAAAATCTCATTACTGATTATGTGATAAACTTTCAATAAAAAATGTCTGTAAGACATCAATGCCCCTGCCACTAATATTTTCAGTATTGAATCATTTGATGATTTTCTATATATAGCAAGGTTGACCTTGATCTTGACCTTGGGCCCCTGAAACACAACAATGTCCAAAATATACTCATAATTGACCTTTGTATAAAAATTTACCCGAAAACCTGTCAAAGAAATAAGTCCCTATATTCTTATATTGAATCTTGATGGGGCCGAATGGACAAGCCCCTCCCCCTTCCCAAGCCCCTCCCCCCTCCCAATTTTCAGACTATTTGATTAACTTATACTGATAATATACTACTTGCCTATAAATAAGTCCACTCATAACTTCTGTGGTTATTACAGAATGTCTCAGTTCCTCTAAAGGAACCTTGTCTATAGGTCCTTACCTGCTGTACTGCCTTTTAGTGGTGTAAAACTGTCGATACTGGACATGTATGTAAACTTTGGGATGGTAGTCGTTATGGCGTTCCCTTTACCCACTACTCGGACTATCACGTTACCCGAGAGAGGTGATCCGTTCCCTAAAGAACAGACAAGCTGTGTGGTACTACAGGATGATGATGATGCTGCACAGTTAAGTGGACAGTCCACATCTCCAACAGTAATGGTGTTGTCTCCTGTCAGGACACTGAAGTGAGTTCCTTTGATTGTCAACAGTTCACCCTCTCTACCTACAACACCGACACCAAAACAAATTAGATAAACTTTACCTATTTTACATTTTACAACAATTTTAAAACAAGTTTTCACAACTTATACAATCACTCTTGTTGGTCTGGATGTAAGAGCGTCTTACTGTGGTAGGAAACCAGAGTAGAGTACCCGGGGAAAACCCACTTGGTCGGGCAGGTGACCCCCCCCCCCCCACCCTCTACCTTTTCAGATCTGTTCCCGGAATCAAACCATGAATGGCTAGGCTAGTAAAGTTACATTGAAAACGTAATGAAATTATTATACAAAGATACTATATATAAAAAAAATATTAAATTGTTCAAGTAACAAGTAATAAAAATTTCTAAAAATTAAAAAAAAAACATTTGTATTGTAAGTATCACATGATAGAGACGATTGAAATCACATTACAGTACAGACAAAATTTTAACCTCAACTACAACAATATCTATGCAATTGTTCTGATGACAGTTAGCCTAGCTAGCGGAAACATGTCAACTTACGATAAAATCACGGAATCCAGATGTTGATGCTCTATCTTCTTTGTCAATTAAATATCTGTCAGAATCAACAGTAACACTCTCCCCGTTTTGTTTCCTTTTAGATATAATACTGGTACCCCCATGTATTATCCCTTTCTATATAGAAATAAGGCCTTGTTAGAAAATCTTCATTCATTGACCTACCTTTTACGACAGTTTACGTCCCCTCTGAAGATTCAGTATAGTTATTGATATTTACGAGGGGTAAAATTTCACTGTAATCATGGTCCATAAAGACAGTGAAAAGCTAAATACCTATTGAACATTTCTATAGTGAATAAAAATCTGAGAAAATTTTCATGCCTGTATACATGAACACCATCTCACAGACGAAAGTAAAATTTAAAACCAATAAACTGGCTAAAACCAGATCAATTGCAAAATATCAGCCCTTCAATATTAAACATATACCGGTATATCATACATTGACTCAAACACCTGGACTTATTCTTGTACTTTATCAGGAGTTGAGTTTGAATTATGATTATGTTGCTATGTTGATATTTTCTTGAATTTTTTTTTAACAATTTGGTAACTACGTCCTCTGAAGGATTATTTTACCTCTGAAAACAAGGCAGTTGAAGTAATAATCTTAATGATATTTTTTAAAGGATTATCTCTAAATGATTATTTTGTGGGACTTAATTTTCGTGGTTTTTTTCAAAAAAAAATTATCATTATTTCATTGAAGCATGACTACATGGATAAATGCATCCCTATAAAATATAATGCTAGGAGCTTTTGGATTTATGAATTCATTGTTTTAGAGTATCTACAAAATGTATGAAAATAAATAACTCGCAAAAAATTAGTGATTTCACAGTAATTTGCTGATTTAAAAACTATTTGTCATCTTGGATTATTTTTCTATTTTAACGAGGTCATTTTAACAAAGATTTCTTTTTTTACTTGCATTGGATCATGTGATCAAGTGATTGCACACTGATTATTTAAGACGTAGGGATTGGTGAAATAACTGCAGCTCTAACAAACCTTGTAGAGGAGAAATCGAGGTGACAGTCGGAGTTACATCATCAGTCCATTCAAACTGGCAGTTCCCACTACAGGCCGACAGTATGGAATTTACCATCACTGACACCTGTAAACAATAGCAAAAGGCATGTTAATCAGAGAATGGTCCTGATTTACCTGTGTGATGTGTCATACCTGTAGTTTTTCTGTGTGATAAGTCATACCTGAGATTTTTCTGTGTGATAAATCATACCTGAGGTTGTTCTGTGTGATAAGTCATACCTGCGGGTTTTCTGTGTGATATGTCATACCTGCGGGTTTTCTGTGTGATGTGTTGTATCTGAGGGTTTTGTGTGTGATAAGTCATACCTGCGGTTTTTCTGTGTGATATGTTATACCTGAGGTTTTTCTGTGTGATATGTCATACCTGCGGGTTTTCTGTGTGATGTGTTGTATCTGAGGGTTTTGTGTGTGATAAGTCATACCTGCGGTTTTTCTGTGTGATATGTTATACCTGAGGTTTTTCTGCATGATATGTCATACCTGAAGTTTCTAGTGCGATTTGTTGTATCCGAGGGTTTTCTGTGTGATATTTCATACCTGAAGTTTTTCTGTGATATGTCATACCTTGCGGTTTTTCTGTGTGATGTGTCATATCTTTGATTTAGCTGTGTGGTGTGTCATATCTTTGATTTAGCTGTGTGGTGTGTCATATCTTTGATTTAGCTGTGTGATGTGTCATATCTTTGATTTAGCTGTGTGATGTGTCATATCTTTGATTTAGCTGTGTGGTGTGCTCTACCTGAGGTTTGAGATGAGAGGTTCTCAGCTGATCTGGTGTACAAGGGTCATACTCTATTCTCCCTGTACGCTTTCTCTTCACTTCCAAATTAAACGGCCCCCCAACTGGATTAGTCTCCACCACCTGAAATGATGAAATAATATGATCACACATATGCCAATCAGAATTAGAAACAGTAAGAGAAAACACTAATGTTTTTCTGATATAACACCAGGGCTGTCAGAGGCAGGTTATGCTCCCTAATTGGGACAAAATTAAAGTTTGAAAAATAACAAAGGGCAATAAGAGGGTTATGTTTCATCTTGATACCTCTTATAGTTTTAGTGTAATGCTTCTGACAAAATTTGAATATGAAAAATAACAAAGGGCCATAACTCCTAAATTCTTCAAAAGAGAGTGATGGCTCTAGTGCAACACACTTTTCTGTGTTGAGATCTATCTACCTATGAAGTTTCATGTTGATACCTCTTATAGTTTTAGTGTAATGCTCTGGACGAAATTTAAATATGAAAAATAACAAAGGGCCATAACTCCTAAATTATGCAAAAGAGAGTGATGGTTCTTATGCGCTGCCTTTGTCCTTGCTGTGATTTATCTACCTATGATGTTTTATGATGATATCTCTTATAGTTTTAGTGTTATGCTCTGGACAAAATTATGACCGTCGGACGGACAAAGTAGCGACGTTACACTCTCTCTACTGGGAGCAGGAAAAAAAAATTAGGCATAACGACTGATCAGAACTAAGAGGATTGCCTTCCTGATCTGACTTAAGACAATCACCTACTGAAAGATCTTGTGAACAGTGACCAATATTCCGCACCAGAACGAGAAATATCACTGGAGATAAACCATAAAAAAAGTTTATTTTACTGTGCACAAAATTCTCCATTTGTTGTCGACTCTAGAATATCTAATGACAACCATGTCATATCTTTGCTAGGGCAGGAACTACAGTATTAATATATAATGTGACTCTTTCTCAATTAAAATTTGTGACTTCAATATTCACCTTGTAATCATTGTGGTCAAAATAATGGGAATTAGGCAGTAATTATCTTGAATAGTTTCAGAACACTGTTCCAGAAAATGACCTTGCAATTTTATTTAATATGCTGAAAATGGGAAAAATAAAACTCCTCAAAAAATGTGTGGTATTAAACTTGCCTTTAAACTCTATATGTCATTGACACTCATGAAAGACCCTCTCACATGGAGGACTTACCTCTAACAAATTCTGTTTTCCTAGTTTTGACATAAATTTATCGGTCCAAGAGACCCTCTCACATGGAGGGCTTACCTCTAACAAATTCTGTTTTCCTAGTTTTGACATAAATTTATATGTCCAAGTGAAGTCTGCACATTCTCCTTCCTTGATCACTTTCAGTGAGCCCATGGCCTCCAAGTTAATGATCTCTAGATAATCTGTAACACTGGACTCATCCATACTCCAGCTTACTGGTACCTCTGTAACACAGAGTCACAAGATACAGACATAAAGTCACTAGATACAGGCATAAAGTCACCAGATACAGGCATAAAGTCACCAGATACAGGCATACTGTCAAAAGAAACAGGCATAAAGTCACAAGATACAGACATACTGTCACAAGATACAGGCATAAAGTCACAAGGTACAGACATAAAGTCACAAGATACAGGCATAAAGTCACCACAAGATACAGGCATAAAGTCACCACAAGATACAGACATAAAGTCACAAGATACAGACATAAAGTCACAAGATACAAGCATTAAGTCACAAGATAAAGGCATAAAGTCACAAGATACAGGCATACTGTCACAAGATACAGGCATAAAGTCACAAGATACAGGCATAAAGTCACAAAGTCACAAGATACAGGCATAAAGTGACAAGAAAAGTCACAAGATACAGGCTTACTGTCACAAGATACAGGCAAAAAGGTTCAAGATACAGGCATACTGTCACAAGATACAGGCATAAAGTCACAAGATACAGGCATACTGTCACAAGATACAGGCATAAAGTCACAAGATACAGGCATGAAGTCACAAAGTCACAAGATACAGGCATAAAGTCATAAGAAAAGTCACAAGATACAGGCATACTGTCACAAGATACAGGCATAAAATCACAAGATACAGGCATACTGTCACAAGATACAGGCATAAAGTCATAAAGTCATAAGATACAGGCATAAAGTCACAAAGCCACAAGATACAGGCATAAAGTGACAAGAAAAGTCACAAGATATAGGCATAAAGTCACCAGATACAGGCATACTGTCCCAAGATACAGACATCATGTTATACAGGGATAAAATTCTCAACAAGAAAAACAACTTTGCAATGCTATCACTATACATCTTGTACTTACTTTTCTCTTTACTGTGAACTCTTAGCGTAACAGTTCCATCGATTGGTTTCGTCGCTGATTGGAGTCGATTCACACTCACTCTTAAATTGTTTCCGGACTTTGAAACCACATCAAAAATGTTGTTGGAAATCTGAAAATGTACGTGTTGTATATAGACATTTTTTTTTCTAAAGAAGGAAGATATATACCCACCATGTAGTCAAACTTTAGAACCATGTGAGTTGAAAGTCAGTTAATTTGTTGTCTGATTGATCAAAAGGAAAAACAATAATTCAGCACTTTTCTCCTAGTATGGTGCTGTAGTCAGTAGGACTCTAAGGACAACATAAGCTATCAAGGAGAGAACAGGACAAAGGATTGTTACCTATATTCCAGTAACCTTTACATCTTTGACTTTATGACAAATCCAAACAAAAACGTTTTCTGTATTGATTTTGAACTTGTCGTCTCAAAAAATTTGAGATACCATTAAGGATGATAATTTTGAGGGGTTTTAATTTTTAATTTGCTATATTTAAGGTTTAAGTGATTCTACCTGACATTAAACTCAATACATTTTACCATTTCGTCAAACCCATGAAAATTTTATCCACTATAACTAAAAAATAGCCTTTATGGCATTGCACAGCAACATTTAATTTACAAACCACAACTGATTCTGACCCCTCACCTTAGGTCCTAAAAAGCAATCTTAAAACATCATTTTTCTATAGGAAGATTTCATACAAATGGAATTATTGTGTAAAAAATAAAATTTATATCTAGTTACGGTGACCTTGACCTTTGGATATTAAACCAATCAATTATTTATATTCATGTAATAAGCCTGGATGAACTTAAGTTCTGATAATTAGAAAAGTTTACAAAAATAATATCAGATATATTCATATTTTTTCATGTGAATTTGAAGTCAACTTATTAGTTGAATGACATTTCTAGGATTCAGAAAATTCAATTTTTGAATGAGTAATTGTTTTATCTGTCATTGTCAAAATCAAATATTGATACATTGCTTAGATTCTAAGTCATTACACTTTTCAAAAAACAAAAAAAAAATGAAACAAAAGAAAAACAAGAGGCCCATGGGCCTTAACAGTCATCTGACATAAAATACAAGATTTCAAATTTTGAACTTGAGAAGAAGTCGAAAATGTGTTTTCGAGATGGCAGCCATAGCCGCCATGTTGGATTTCGGAGCAACCCGAAATTAACAAACTTTAATCCGGATCTTGTCACGATCATTTCAGGTAATTTTCAGCTCAATGAGACATGCAGAACTTGAGAAGAAGTTGAAAATGTTTACGACGGACGACGTATGCTGCCGGACAAAAGGCGATTGCAATAGGTCATCAGACCCTTCGGTCATCAGACCTAAAAACATATTTGGTGGTAATCTTCAGTACTATAAATTAAAGAAGCTAGAAAGTATCCACCAAATTCATTATAAACAAATATTTACTATATATATATAGAACAGTTTATTAATATATATGCTTCTTACTGCTTGTCCACCATAAGGTTTTATCAGCGGAACGGTGTGACCACAACTGTACATCATTATAGAAACAACAAAGGAGGACAACTCTTGGTCTTCAGTAGGAAGTCGTTTTACATCAACTGACGCGATCATTTCTCCCGAAGGCATGGTAGGGCTCATTCTCTGTTTCCATATCATATCTGTAAAGGAAAAGAGAACATCACATTTTCTAATAAAAGAAAAGTAAAATTTCAAAGTTTCTATTAAAAAAACAAACCAAAAATTTCAGAATTTACATATTTTAACCCAAAAGAGCAAAATTATTAATCAAATAGATTTTCATACAGCAATGATTCAACCAAGGCTTGTGCAATTCAATGTAGAAAAAAACCTGATGTACACATTTCAATTCTTTAAATAAAAAAATTGATATATGAATTAAAAAATTGATAAAGACTGAATTTTTTTAGAAAACAAAAAATAAACATCTGTTACAAATTAAAAAAAATAATTGTTTATTGTTGTTGATATAGTGAAGTTGCAGGTTAGTTTTTTTTTATTATATATTGCAGGACTTTTATTTTTTGAAATTTTTGAAATATGGATAAAATGTTTTTTTCAGTAAATTTTACCCTTGAAAGTACCTGTACAAATTATACACATGTTAAAGCATTAGGAAACATTCTCACCTGGAGAATCAGTGCTAGTGAACTTTGACCCCAGGTTGACAACATCAATGTAGTAATCTTGGACAGGACTTGTAAAGCTAATGGCTGTCAGACTGCTGTTTGTCTGTCTACAGACACTTGTCTCATCTAGTAGTTTACTCAACTGGACACAGCGATACGTCCATCTGTTAGGAAAGGTATATAGACATTGCACAGAAAGGCTGACCACAGCTGACATATATATTTTTATTAAAAATGACAATAAATGTTGAGTGAAACTTCTCCTAACTGACCATGCATGGCACATGATCATTTGTCCAGTTAAAAGAGGATTCAGTTTGAGGAAGTGAATGAAGTAGACCAGTCCTAAACAATAATATCATTTTGAAATTTGTTCATACAAGCATTAAAAACTTTTTATGTATGTAGAATTATCCGTTTTCTGGGGTCAAAATGGCTGAAATCAGCCAACAGCTGAAGATTTTCATCTCTTCTATAGTATTGTGTAAATAATTAATGTCTTTGGAATAGGATCTATCAATTTACTAAGTTTGGTCAAAGTTACTTTTTTTGAAATTTAAATGCAAATTTTAAAGTGAAATGTTGACAATACCAATGTCTACTGAAAAGTGACACCGTAGTCTTGGTTTCTCAATTCTTTTCATCAGAGGTAAAAAATATCTAAATATACAGAACAGTGTAAATGGGTATCATACAAAGTTGGATGGTTGTACTTCTGTAAAGACACTTGATTACAGTTTTACATGTAAACATTTTTCCAGGTGTCTTGTTCTGTCCCTACCCAAAGAAGTTTGTGTTTCCCAGGTGTCTTGTTCTGTCCCTACCCGAAGAAGTTTGTGTTTTCCAGGTGTATTGTTCTGTCCCTACCCAAAGAAGTTTGTGTTTTCCAGGTGTCTTGTTCTGTCACTACCCAAGGAAGTTTGTGTTTCTCAGGTGTCTTGTTCTGTCCCAACCCAAGGAAGTTTGTGTTTTCCAGATGTATTGTTCTGTCCCTACCCAAGGAAGTTTGTGTTTCCCAGGTGTCTTGTTCTGTCACTACCAAAGGAAGTTTGTGTTTCCCAGGTGTCTTGTTCTGTCCCAACCCAAGGAAGTTTGTGTTTCCCAGGTGTCTTGTTCCGTCCCTACCCAAGGAAGTTTGTGTTTCCCAGGTGTCTTGTTCCGTCCCTACCCAAGGAAGTTTGTGTTTCTCAGGTGTCTTGTTCTGTCCCTACCCAATGAAGTTTGTGTTTTCCAGGTGTATTGTTCTGTCCCTACCCAAAGAAGTTTGTGTTTTCCAGGTGTATTGTTCTGTCACTACCCAAGGAAGTTTGTGTTTCTCAGGTGTCTTGTTCTGTCCCTACCCAAGGAAGTTTGTGTTTCCCAGGTGTCTTGTTCTGTCCCTACCCAAGGAAGTTTGTGTTTTTCAGGTGTCTTGTTCTGTCACTACCCAAGGAAGTTTGTGTTTCTCAGGTGTCTTGTTCTGTCACTACCCAAGGAAGTTTGTGTTTCTCAGGTGTCTTGTTCTGTCCCAACCCAAGGAAGTTTGTGTTTCCCAGGTGTCTTGTTCCGTCCCTACCCAAGGAAGTTTGTGTTTTCCAGGTGTCTTGTTCTGTCACTACCCAAGGAAGTTTGTGTTTCCCAGGTGTCTTGTTCTGTCCCTACCCAAGGAAGTTTGTGTTTTCCAGGTGTCTTGTTCTGTCACTACCCAAGGAAGTTTGTGTTTCCCAGTTCCCAGGTGTCTTGTTCTGTCCCTACCCAAAGAAGTTTGTGTTTCCCAGGTGTCTTGTTCTGTCCCTACCCAAAGAAGTTTGTGTTTCCCAGGTGTCTTGTTCTGTCCCTACCCAAGGAAGTTTGTGTTTCCAAGGTGTCTTGTTCTGTCACTACCCGAAGAAGTTTGTGTTTTCCAGGTGTATTGTTCTGTCCCTACCCAAAGAAGTTTGTGTTTTCCAGGTGTCTTGTTCTGTCACTACCCAAGGAAGTTTGTGTTTCCCAGGTGTCTTGTTCTGTCACTACCTGTGAAGGAAGTTTGTGTTTCCCAGGTGTCTTGTTCTGTCACTACCCAAGGAAGTTTGTGTTTCTCAGGAAGTGTGTTTCCAAGGCTGTCATATTCTGTCACTACCCAAGGGTGTAGTTTGTGTTTTGTTTTCCAGGTGTCTTGTTCTGTCACTACCCAAGGAAGTTTGTGTTTCTCAGGTGTCTTGTTCTGTCACTACCCAAGGAAGTTTGTGTTTCTCAGGTGTTTCTCAGGTGTATTGTTCTGTCACTACCCAAGGAAGTTTGTGTTTCTCAGGTGTCTTGTTCTGTCCCTACCCAAGGAAGTTTGTGTTTCCAAGGTGTCTTGTTCTGTCACTACCCAAGGAAGTTTGTGTTTCCCAGGTGTCTTGTTCCGTCCCTACCCAAGGAAGTTTGTGTTTCCCAGGTGTCTTGTTCTGTCACTACCCAAGGAAGTTTGTGTTTCCCAGGTGTCTTGTTCTGTCACTACCCAAGGAAGTTTGTGTTTCCCAGGTGTCTTGTTCTGTCACTACCCAAGGAAGTTTGTGTTTCTCAGGTGTCTTGTTCTGTCCCAACCCAAGGAAGTTTGTGTTTTCCAGGTGTCTTGTTCTGTCACTACCCAAGGAAGTTTGTGTTTCCCAGGTGTCTTGTTCTGTCACTACCCAAGGAAGTTTGTGTTTCCCAGGTGTCTTGTTCTGTCACTACCCAAGGAAGTTTGTGTTTCTCAGGTGTGTTGTTCTGTCCCTACCCAAGGAAGTTTGTGTTTCCAAGGTGTCTTGTTCTGTCACTACCCAAGGAAGTTTGTGTTTCCCAGGTGAAGATCCCAGGTGTCTTGTTCTGTCACTACCCAAGGAAGTTTGTGTTTCTCAGGTGTGTTGTTCTGTCCCTACCCAAGGAAGTTTGTGTTTCCAAGGTGTCTTGTTCTGTCACTACCCGAAGAAGTTTGTGTTTTCCAGGTGTATTCATGTCCCTGACAGTGTTCTGTCACAAAGGAAGTTTGTGTTTCAACCTCATGTCTTGTTCTGTCACTACCCAAGGAAGTTTGTGTTTCCTCAGGTGTCTTGTTCTGTCAGGAAGGAAGTTTGTGTTTTTCCAGGTGTCTTGTTCTGTCCAGTCAACTACCCAAGGATTTGTGTTTCTCATTCTGACAGTCAACAACAGATTTATAACCTCATTCTGACATTGAACAACCGTTTACAACCTCATTCTGACAGGCAACAAAGATTTACAACCTCATTCTGTTTAACAACAGATTTACAACCTCATTCTGACATTGAACAACAGATTTACAACCTCATTCTGACAGTCAACAACAGATTTACAACCTCATTCTGACAGTCAACAACAGATTTACAACCTCATTCTGACAGGCAACAACAGATTTACAACCTCATTCTGACAGTCAACAACAGATTTACAACCTCATTCTGACAGGCAACAACAGATTTACAACCTCATTCTGACAGTCAACAACAGATTTACAACCTCATTCTGACAGTCAACAACAGATTTACAACCTCATTCTGACAGTCAACAACAGATTTACAACCTCATTCTGACAGTCAACAACAGATTTACAACCTCATTCTGACAGTCAACAACAGATTTACAACCTCATTCTGACAGTCAACAACAGATTTACAACCTCATTCTGTCAGTCAACAACAGATTTATAACCTCATTCTGACATTGAACAACCGATTTACAACCTCATTCTGACAGTCAACAACAGATTTACAACCTCATTCTGACAGTCAACAACAGATTTATAACCTCATTCTGACAATGAACAACAGATTTACAATGAACAACAGATTTACAACCTCATTCTGACAGTCAACAACAGATTTACAACCTCATTCTGACAGTCAACAACAGATTTACAACCTCATTCTGACAATGAACAACAGATTTACAACCTCATTCTGACAGTCAACAACAGATTTATAACCTTTCTGACAGTGAACAACAGATTTACAACCTCATTCTGACAGTCAACAACAGATTTATAACCTCATTCTGACAATGAACAACAGATTTACAACCTCATTCTGACAGTCAACAACAGATTTACAACCTCATTCTGACAGTCAACAACAGATTTATAACCTCATTCTGACATTGAACAACTGATTTACAACCTCATTCTGACAGTCAACAACAGATTTACAACCTCATTCTGACAATGAACAACAGATTTACAACCTCATTCTGACAGTCAACAACAGATTTACAACCTCATTCTGACAGTCAACAACAGATTTATAACCTCATTCTGACATTGAACAACAGATTTACAACCTCATTCTGACAGTCAACAACAGATTTATAACCTCATTCTGACAGTCAACAACAGATTTACAACCTCATTCTGACAGTCAACAACAGATTTACAACCTCATTCTGACAGTCAACAACAGATTTACAACCTCATTCTGACATTCAACAACAGATTTATAACCTCATTCTGACAGTCAAAAACAGATTTATAACCTCATTCTGACATTGAACAACCGATTTACAACCTCATTCTGACAGTCAACAACAGATTTACAACCTCATTCTGACAGTCAACAACAGATTTACAACCTCATTCTGACATTCAACAACCGATTTACAACCTCATTCTGACAGTCAACAACAGATTTACAACCTCATTCTGACAGTCAACAACAGATTTACAACCTCATTCTGACATTCAACAACAGATTTATAACCTCATTCTGACAGTCAACAACAGATTTACAACCTCATTCTGACATTGAACAACTGATTTACAACCTCATTCTGACAGTCAACAACAGATTTATAACCTCATTCTGACAATGAACAACAGATTTACAACCTCATTCTGACAGTCAACAACAGATTTATAACCTCATTCTGACAATGAACAACAGATTTACAACCTCATTCTGACAGTCAACAACAGATTTACAACCTCATTCTGACAGTCAACAACAGATTTACAACCTCATTCTGACAGTCAACAACAGATTTATAACCTCATTCTGACATTGAACAACTGATTTACAACCTCATTCTGACAGTCAACAACAGATTTATAACCTCATTCTGACAATGAACAACAGATTTACAACCTCATTCTGACAGTCAACAACAGATTTACAACCTCATTCTGACAGTCAACAACAGATTTATAACCTCATTCTGACATTGAACAACTGATTTACAACCTCATTCTGACAGTCAACAACAGATTTATAACCTCATTCTGACAATGAACAACAGATTTACAACCTCATTCTGACAGTCAACAACAGATTTACAACCTCATTCTGACAGTCAACAACAGATTTATAACCTCATTCTGACATTGAACAACTGATTTACAACCTCATTCTGACAGTCAACAACAGATTTATAACCTCATTCTGACAATGAACAACAGATTTACAACCTCATTCTGACAGTCAACAACAGATTTACAACCTCATTCTGACAGTCAACAACAGATTTATAACCTCATTTTGACATTGAACAACTGATTTACAACCTCATTCTGACAGTCAACAACAGATTTACAACCTCATTCTGACAGTCAACAACAGATTCACAACCTCATTCTGACATTCAACAACAGATTTATAACCTCATTCTGACAATGAACAACAGATTTACAACCTCATTCTGACAGTCAACAACAGATTTACAACCTCATTCTGACAATGAACAACAGATTTACAACCTCATTCTGACAGTCAACAACTGATTTACAACCTCATTCTGACAGTCAACAACAGATTTACAACCTCATTCTGACAGTCAACAACTGATTTACAACCTCATTCTGACAATGAACAACAGATTTACAACCTCATTCTGACAGTCAACAACTGATTTACAACCTCATCCTGACAGGCAACAACAGATTTACAACCTCATTCTGACAATGAACAACAGATTTACAACCTCATTCTGACAGTCAACAACTGATTTACAACCTCATTCTGACAGTCAACAACAGATTTACAACCTCATTCTGACAGTCAACAACTGATTTACAACCTCATTCTGACAATGAACAACAGATTTACAACCTCATTCTGACAGTCAACAACTGATTTACAACCTCATCCTGACAGGCAACAACAGATTTACAACCTCATTCTGACAGTCAACAACAGATTTACAACCTCATTCTGACAGTCAACAACAGATTTACAACCTCATTCTGACAATGAACAACAGATTTACAACCTCATTCTGACAGTCAACAACAGATTTATAACCTCATTCTGACATTGAACAACAGATTTACAACCTCATTCTGACAGGCAACAACAGATTTACAACCTCATTCTGACAGTCAACAACAGATTTACAACCTCATTCTGACAGTCAACAACAGATTCACAACTTCATTCTGACAGTCAACAACAGATTTACAACCTCATTCTGACAGTCAACAACAGATTTACAACCTCATTCTGACAATGAACAACAGATTTACAACCTCATTCTGACAATGAACAACAGATTTACAACCTCATTCTGACAGTCAACAACAGATTCACAACCTCATTCTGACAATGAACAACAGATTTACAACCTCATTCTGACAATGAACAACAGATTTACAACCTCATTCTGACAATGAACAACAGATTTACAACCTCATTCTGACAGTCAACAACAGATTTACAACCTCATTCTGACAATGAACAACAGATTTACAACCTCATTCTGACAACAACTGATTTACAACCTCATCCTGACAGGCAACAACAGATTTACAACCTCATTCTGACATTGAACAACAGATTTACAACCTCATTCTGACAGTCAACAACTGATTTACAACCTCATCCTGACAGGCAACAACAGATTTACAACCTCATTCTGACATTGAACAACTGATTTACAACCTCATTCTGACAGTCAACAACAGATTTACAACCTCATTCTGACATTCAACAACAGATTTACAACCTCATTCTGACAGTCAACAACAGATTTACAACCTCATTCTGACAATGAACAACAGATTTACAACCTCATTCTGACAGTCAACAACAGATTTACAACCTCATTCTGACAGTCAACAACAGATTTACAACCTCATTCTGACATTGAACAACAGATTTACAACCTCATTCTGACAATGAACAACAGATTTACAACCTCATTCTGACAGTCAACAACAGATTTACAACCTCATTCTGACAGTCAACAACAGATTTACAACCTCATTCTGACAGTCAACAACCGATTTACAACCTCATTCTGACAATGAACAACAGATTTACAACCTCATTCTGACAGTCAACAACAGATTCACAACCTCATTCTGACAGTCAACAACAGATTTACAACCTCATCCTGACAGGCAACAACAGATTTACAACCTCATTCTGACAATGAACAACAGATTTACAACCTCATTCTGACAGTCAACAACTGATTTACAACCTCATCCTGACAGGCAACAACAGATTTACAACCTCATTCTGACAGTCAACAACAGATTTACAACCTCATTCTGACAGTCAACAACAGATTTACAACCTCATTCTGACAATGAACAACAGATTTACAACCTCATTCTGACAATGAACAACAGATTTACAACCTCATTCTGACAGTCAACAACAGATTCACAACCTCATTCTGACATTGAACAACAGATTTACAACCTCATTCTGACATTCAACAACAGATTTACAACCTCATTCTGACAGTCAACAACAGATTCACAACTTCATTCTGACAGTCAACAACAGATTTACAACCTCATTCTGACAGTCAACAACAGATTTACAACCTCATTCTGACAGTCAACAACAGATTTATAACCTCATTCTGACATTGAACAACCGATCTACAACCTCATTCTGACAGTCAACAACAGATTTACAACCTCATTCTGACAGTCAACAACAGATTTACAACCTCATTCTGACAGTCAACAACTGATTTACAACCTCATTCTGACAGTCAACAACAGATTTATAACCTCATTCTGACAGTCAACAACAGATTTATAACCTCATTCTGACATTGAACAACTGATTTACAACCTCATTCTGACAGGCAACAACAGATTTACAACCTCATTCTGACAGTCAACAACAGATTTACAACCTCATTCTGACATTCAACAACAGATTTACAACCTCATTCTGACGGAAAATGGTCAATTTGCTTTGGAGTAGATCATTATGTGTGACCAGACTATATTTACATGGAAATTACTTAAAATATTCTTCATTGGAAGCAATCTTCTGTTGTTTGCTTAGAATTTTTTTTATATTTACAGTTGTCGTACCTTATTGTCTCCCACAGGCCTGGCACGAGAGGCTGATTTGTAGTATAGGTATTTAGCATTTTTGAGGCAGTACCTTCCACAATAGGGCTCAATATTTCCAACTATATTTCCTCCGAGATTCATCAAACTTGGACTATTCTCATAGTCTTCAGAATAGATAGTGAAGATATTCTTTGTCAGGAAGTGTGGACATCTGGCCCCGATGCCTATCTCTAACTTAGCTTTGATCTGGAATAAAAAAAAAAACCCATACATAGAGTTTAAATTTCAAATGTAAATTTATGATACGGTCGAAGAATTGTTCATTTTAGCAAGTCTTTGCCTTGTTAATCATTTGTAATATATCTTACTGTGATGTCATTTTAGATAATGATGTGACATCACACATTCACAGATGGCGTTGTGATATAAGAATAGAGACCAGAGATAAAGAGCAGACATGATTTCATGTTTGACATAGAAATGTCTATTTTTGGCTATACTTGCTGGAAAAATCTATCATGTGATAAAAAGGAAACAGTTGAACCCACTTAATGTCACGTCTGTTAATATCACTTTCCGGTTCTATGTAATCTAACATATGATAATGTCACTTATTTTCATGTGGGCAACACTTAATTACGCATCATTTTGCCAAATATCACAAAAAAAAAAATAGTTATTTCCCTTTGATCTGTTATTTATGAAACATGTCACAAATTTTTCATTTCAGCTCATCAAATTAAAGCTCACTTTAAAAAATTCTTAGAATTGTTTTCTCATTTCAAAAACTCATGAATATTCACATCAAATTGAAACTCATTTAAAATTCTAAATCGCTTACATCATCAGCGGATGTTGGCCCAGGAACCAGAGGTGGTGTAATGCTATGACCAATAGTTAATACCAGTGTATCGCGTCCAGATTGTCCTTTTGTTTTCTCCTCAACTGTGACTTTTAGAGGCGTCATCACATTGACAGGTTCCAGGCTCGGTAGATCACCTGTTGGAGTTAGATATACATACTGATACACAATGTCACCACATACTGATACATAGTGTTACCACTACACAGTGTCACCACATACTGATACAGTGTCACCACTACACAGTGTCACCACATACTGATACACAGTGTCACCACTATACAGTGTCACAACATACTGATACACAGTGTCACCACATACTGATACACAGTGTCACCACATACTGATACACAGTGTCACCACATACTGAAACACAGTGTCACCACTACACAGTGTCACCACATACTGATACACAGTGTCACCACTATACAGTGTCACAACATACTGATACACAGTGTCACCACATACTGATACACAGTGTCACCACTACACAGTGTCACCACATACTGATACACAGTGTCACCACAGATTAGGTATGTAGTTACCATTAAGCAAAGTTATTGATGGAAACCAATTGGCCAAATAGAAATGAAGTACTTAATTAATAATGCATAAAAATCTACAAATGATGTTGTTAGTCAAACATGGATTGAAGGACACGTTGATACACCTCCAAACCAAATTTGACTGATATCTATTCATATTTGATAAAGTTATCATATGGAAACTAAAGTGGAACGGACAGATGGACAGATACTCCCTAAATTGATATATATATATATATTTTTTGTTGAAAAGTGAGTATAAGATAACACAATCTATAAAAATTATTCTATATTTACCAATTTTAGAATCCAATGTTACTCTGTATATTGGAGAGTTAGGTACGGATGTCACTGTCACTTTCACTACATCTTCTTCCATAAAAACCGGAATGCTCTGAATGGCTCTCTGTATAACATTAGCTGTTGCCGTGGAATCAATAACACCTGGATAAAACGTCAAAAATATATTTTAGAGACGTAAGGTAAGTAATGATATCAATCGCTGCAGCTTAACTTTTGTCCTGTAGTTTAAAGTTGGACATTACAGCTGTAATGAAAGTAATGAGAGCACATTTAACAGTGGGTAAAAAAAATAAGAATTTCGGGTGAGAAAGAAAAGTACTATGGACATGATTGAGATATAAAAGACAATTTAATGATGGGCACAAAAAAAAGTTTCATGGGAAAAAATTGAATACTCTACCGATGATGGAGGTCTACATGCGAAGTAAATCAAGATTCCCTTATGAATCACCTGCTTTTTGTCTTCTCTCATCAAATTTGAGTTTGAAATATGATTCTGCTGACGGGTATTTACTTTGTTACTTTTATCGTCTATTTATACCTGTGATGGTGTCAAACATCTTCAGTCGGTACGTTTTGCCTGCCTGTGGGTTTTCAATCTTTATTTCCTGAACTTCAGCGGTGTACTCATCATCAGAATCTAACAGCTTTTCGAACGTCAGCTCCTGGGAAGATTTGAACAGATTTAGATATCAAATTGATTCCTTTATCGTATAGCTGGTAATTTTTAAGGGTCAAAATTTTCGTGGGTTTTTTTTTGTTAAAACATTTGATTGAACAAATTTTAACAAATGAAAATTTCACAGTGTGGATGTAAAGTGATATCATATACTGTAAAAACGGTAATTTCCACGGGTATAAATTTTAGAGATTTGTTTTTTAACAAATTAACAATTTCAAGTTTCACAATCTAGATGAAAACGGACATCATAAAAATGTAAAAGTACACTGAATATTAACAAGTCTATTTATTTCATGATCAAATTTTTCACAACTACGTTAATATTCTATGTAAAATAGTGAAAATCTCACCCCTGTGAAAACAACCTGCCATAATGTATTTTGACTAAACCCTTCAACACCACATCTCTGACAAAGTCAGTTTATAGAGATTTTGAAATCATTCTAGTAGAAGAGATTTTGGTATCCAATTAGATTATGTACATAGAATTTCAGCATTATAATTGATGCCTCTAGAAGCGAGAGTTTGATATGCGTAGGTAATATATATCTCCCGTTGTCTTTACCTGTTTTTCTTTGACAACAGCCTTGGAAAAATGGAGTTGATGTTCTTCCATTTTCAGTGCTCCCGTATCTGCATCATTGACTCCAGAAAAAGGAGGCGTGTCTTCTGTGAACATTCCCCACTGTACAAAGGAGGACTCGTCGACATGGCGATGCACAATCTCATAGTAGTAACTGTAAACGTGTTATAGATATATCTGTATGATTATAGTAACACTAAAGGGTAGGCCATCTTCTTCAAACTTCTCTTCTCAATGTTCCATCTATTCAGACTACAGAGTTATCTGCCCTTGTAAGCAGGTATTATTTGTTACTTCATTTGTTTTTTGAGAGATTAATGACATAAACTTGTGAGAAAACAATGTGATTTTCTTACACAAACAAGTGGTGGAAAAATAACGCCTGCTCACAAGAGCAGATAACTCTGTATGGTGGAAAGACAGAACTGAGCCCTGGATATCTGGCTTAATGAACTTATAAATTTTAGTGTTGTGCTAAACAAAAATTATCCTAACTGCATCAGTTAGCAGTGAATATTTTACCAGGGTTTAAAATTTCTCCACTTGGGAATGTTTTCTAGTGGCAGTAGGAGAGAATTTCTGCTTATTACAACAGTAGCCTTTTACAGTGAGTATTTTACCTGATTTGAATCTCCTCCACATAAGAATGTTTTTTAGGGGAAACAAAGATCATTTATCATTTAGTTTAAGTTGATTTAATCCATCCATTATAATTTCCATTCAATGAGATTGGAATGATATCTTCAATTATGTCAGAATGTTTGAACAATAATAACTTCAACATACCTGAAGAACTTGACAATAAGTCAGTCTCAAAAATCAGTTTATCCTGAAAATAAGCCTGTTGTTTCTTTTATAAATAAATCTATATTTTCATACTAATGAAGAAAATAAACTAAATCTCATCTTTTAAGTTTCAGACTATTTGACCTCCGTGACCTTGAATAATGTTAAAATAACTATCAAAAGATTTGGTGTCGTGAAGTATTATGGTAAATTTTGTTGTATGAATCCACATGACCCAGACGTGAAACAATTATTTCTACATTTTATTGAAAAATGAAATGAAAACATGAGACTCACAATTTCTTTTCCTGTAATTCAACGATATCAGAAATCTGTTTGTCTTGGTGGCCATTGTTATAGTACGACTCGCACTCCACCATCGTTGTATAGTCCTGGCTACTGGCAATCTCCTTCATCTACAGAAATACGGGTACAAGTCAAAGGTATTATGTCATTTCGTAATATAGAGTTATCTGCTCTTGATTGTTACGTAATTGTATGCCAGATAATAATGTTATTAATTTGTGAAAATATGACATCAATTTCTCATAAAGATCAACAACTGACCACAGCAGCAGTGATAAGTCGGCATAAGTTACACTGCCTTTCTACATCACAAAGATATAGGGGTAAACTGATTCATCGTGATGTGATATATATCGCATTACTACCGTATTTCCAATCCTATGAACCGCACCCAAGTATAAGTATAAGTAAATTCACTCTGACTCAATATTTAACATGTCTTTTCTATTTTAATATAATGCTTTCAATTAATTATTCAAAACAGATGGTATACATAATTGCTTCCTCAAGGCTCCTGATAGTCACGTCGTAAATGATTTTTTATAATTCCTTAATGTCGCAGAGGAAGAATTACTGAGCTACAGGAAATCATCCGAATCGCTGATTTTTTACTCTGCCTTTAACGATATTTTCAAACAAAGACAAAAGCCAAGAAACATTTATTTAGTAACACTGAGATCAGGATTACCAGTTTAACCTACCATGCCATCTATGTTCCTGAAAAACAGCCTGGCCCCGCCACATCCCTTCAGCATCATTCTAAATCTGGCAGTAAAAGGGGCCACTATGAATCCACTGATACGAACAACAAAGCTGTCAGAGGAAGTGCTGGAATAATATGAGTCTTCCAATGTTGTATTCTGGTACCCCACATCATTATCACTCAGTGAACGAACATCAGCCAGGTCAGCAAAACTCTTGATTAAATCCCAAGTTTCACAAAGTCCACCTCTTGATCCTTCAGGAATAAAATGATAAGATTGAAAAAAAAATATTTCACATTTCTTTGGAACATTTTCTCATTTTGTTTCCTAAAATAGATCTTTTCTGATATAGAAGTTGCATAATGCTGATTTGTCAAGAAAAATCTACAAAATGCCTTTATCAACTCCAAAGCAAATTTTGGATGATTTTTATAAAAAGGAATTATGACCTTGACCTTTGAACCCTAAAAGACCATTTCTGTTAAGGTTTCTCATCATTTTATTATCACGTACTTACATGTATATGATCACAATTTCCAAAGAAATTAAGAGATCTTTATTAACAATAAGTGTAGTGGAATAAAATCCCCCGCAGATATTACTGACTATAGGTTAATATTACCTGCATAAAGATGTTCCTCATCATGTCTAGGTTTCTCAGGTGTAACACATGTTAGTTCTGTGGTAGATCTAACATTTATATCTTTACACTCCAATTCTGAAAAGGGAAAATTTATCATACTATATCAGATAACTACTATAAAAACACTAAATGTAACCCATGATTGCTAAACTCACCAATAACAGTTCAATAGCATTCACCACTATCTTTATATGATTATGACTTGTATTCCTTGAGTTTTTCACAAATTCTCTCAAATATGAAATCCTGAAAGTCTGACGAGATCATTTTGATGTAGAAATAAACTAAAGTGAACTGGACATCTAAACACACACAGATGTGAGTTTTAACTCACAGTTACTCATAACCAATTAGAAAAGAGTGTTAACTCACAGTTACTCATAACCAATTAGAAAAGAGTGTTAACTCACAGTTACTCATAACCAATTAGAAAAGAGTGTTAACTCACAGTTACTCATAACCAATTATAAAAGAGTTTAAAATCACAGTTACACATGACCAATTAGAGTTAAAACTCACAGTTACTCATAACCAATTAGAAAACAGTGTAAACTCACAGTTACTCATAACCAATCAGAAAAGAGTTTTAACTCACAGTTACTCATAACCAATTAGAAAAGAGTGTTAACTCACAGTTACTCATAACCAATTAGAAAACAGTGTAAACTCAGTTACTCATAACCAATTAGAAAAGAGTTTAAAATCAAAATTACACATAACCGATTAGAAAACAGTGTAAACTCACAGTTACTCATAACCAATTAGAAAAGAGTGTAAACTTAGTTACTCATAACCAATTAGAAAAGAGTGTTAACTCACAGTTACTCATAACCAATTAGAAAAGAGTGTTAACTCACAGTTACTCATAACCAATTATAAAAGAGTTTACAATCATAGTTACACATAACCAATTAGAAAAGAGTCAAAACTCACAAGTACTCATAACCAATTAGAAAACAGTGTAAACTCACAGTTACTCATAACCATTTAGAAAAGAGTGTAAACTCAGTTACTCATAACCAATTAGAAAAGAGTTTAAAATCACAGTTACACATGACCAATTAGAAAAGAGTCAAAACTCACAAGTACTCATAACCAATTAGAAAAGAGTTTAAAATCACAGTTACACATGACCAATTAGAAAAGAGTCAAAACTCACAAGTACTCATAACCAATTAGAAAAGAGTTTAAACTCAGAGTTACTCATAACCAATTAGAAAAGAGTGTAAACTCACAGTTTCTCATAACCAGTGAGCAAAAAAGGTGAGGGCATTTAAGATACAACAAAAGTTTATCGTCATTTTCGATAATCTTTTAGAAATGATACAAATACACACCTCCTACTAGGACAGAAGTTGCATCCTTTGCGAAGCCTCTTCCATTCACTGTGATGAGAGTTCCTCCAATAACACTCCCGACTGAAGGGCTTATGGATGCGACATCTAACCAAAAAATAAGTATTTGAAAAATAAAACTCAATGTCAAAATTGAAACATCCTGAAACATCAGCTGAAACACTAAAGAGATTGGTATCAACCATCCCCATATTTTCGTTGGTTAAAAGTCCAATCTTTCATTCTCTGATTAATGAATATTTCTGAAACTTACCTTCTTTTTATATTGAAATGCAGGAACCAATACATTAACTATAACAAGTGAAAGAAATAACAATTGTATAATTTTAAAACAATTTTGAGAGAAATTTTAGCCTCTGTAAAAACACATACTGATATTTGTTTAATTTCAAGGGGAGAATATTTTACAGCTGTACTGGTTTGACCTTGTTCACAGATATCTGATTTTTGCGGTTCAATAGATTTGTATCCATGTTTACATGCAACAGATATTTTCCGAAATTTTAAAATTTTTAAGAACGGTTTGGTGGATATCTAATTTATTTTTATTTTCCCAAAATGTAGAGAAATTAAATCCTTCATGATAATCACCAATAATACAGTGTTTAAGGGAGAATTGTGTGGGGTGTAAGGCCTGAACTTACAGGGGTACATCTGGAACACAGCTAACTGGTTGTTCACAGTGAGCCAGGTCAGGTCAGGATGTATTCTTGATCTGAAAACAAATGTACAACATGTCATTTACAGCACATATGAATGACATCTTAAATCTAACTTGTTTGCTAGATTTAATTGTCCCCATCCTCCCCCCTACAAACCCCCAAATAATCAGGATGATTTTGATTCAAGCCCCTCTATGTGGCTACCTCAATGAACATTAAAATATAAGAGTCAAATCACATGCTTTACTGCAATTAAGATGAAATTTTCAAATCACAAAAAATTCTGTCCATGTTATTGAAAACGAATTTAAGACATTGTTCATGTACATAAACATTATTAAATGTTATTTTAACAAAAAAATAGTGAAAATTACAGTTTTTTTATCTTTTTGCAGCAAAATATGAAAGAAACTCAAGTTTTAAAATGTTCCTCAAGTAAATATTTAAAAAGCAGTGATTTTTGAAATTTTTACATTACCTGCCATCAACTATCATGGAAAAACCGAGGTTGTCTGAAATTTAAACAAAATGTCTATTAATCCTACTTTTACACAGGGTCTATGTGAGAACGGCAATACAGTGTGATGTTTGTGTGGACACAGGGTCTATGTGAGAATGGCAATATGGTGTGATTGTTGTGTGGACACAGGGTCTATGTGAGAACGGCAATATGGTGTGATTGTTGTGTGGGCACAGGGTCTATGTGAAAACGGCAATATGGTGTGATGTTTGTGCGGGCACAGGGTCTATGTGAGAACGGCAATACGGTGTGATGTTCGTGTGGACACAGGGTCTATGTGAAAACGGCAATATGGTGTGATGTTTGTGCGGGCACAGGGTCTATGCGAGAACGGCAATACGGTGTGATGTTCGTGTGGACACAGGGTCTATGTGAGAACGTCAATATGATGTGATGATTGTGTGGACACAGGGTCTATGTGAGAATGTAAATATGGTGTGATGTTTGTGTGGACACAGGGTCTATGTGATAACGGCAATACGGTGTTATGTTCGTGTGGACACAGGGTCTATGTGAGAACGGCAATATGATGTGATGATTGTGTGGACACAGGGTCTATGTGAGAATGGAAATACGGTGTGATGTTTGTGTGGACACAGGGTCTATGTGAGAACGGCAATATGATGTGATGATTGTGTGGACACAGGGTCTATGTGAGAATGTAAATATGGTGTGATGTTTGTGTGGACACACGGTCTATGTGATAACGGCAATACGGTGTTATGTTCGTGTGGACACAGGGTCAATGTGAGAACGGCAATATGGTGTGATGGTTGTAGGGACACAGGGTCTATGTGAGAACGGCAATATGGTGTGATGGTTGTGTGGACACAGGGTCTATGTGAGAACGGCAATATGGTGTGATGGTTGTGTGGACACAGGGTCTATGTGAGAACGGCAATATGGTGTGATTGTTGTGTGGACACAGGGTCTATCTGATAATGGCAATATGGTGTAATGATTGTGAGGACACAGAGTCTACTTGACAATGGTAATATGGTGTGGTGATTGTATGGTGTAATGTTGACTTAACAGTCTTAGGGAAATTAAAAAATATCTGTAAAAGGAACAAAGACAAAGAAATTAGCAGAACACTAATGTCATCAGAGATGGAAATTGATGATGTCTCAAGTCTGTTGATCACTGATTAATGATAAATGCTGCAGGATTTGATATCATTTTTAACAATACCGTATGATACAGTTGAATTCATTATTTGGCCCCACTGTATCCAATTATAAATTTGTATTGAAAGGTGCTTTTTCACGAGTGTGTCTTTCTTTACAATCTTTTAGAATGTGCCATAAAATCAACTCGTGCTTGGTAATAACGAAAATACAAAACACAGGAGCCCTTCCAAAACACTAGGGTTCTATTCTTGTAATTTTTCATTGGGTTTTGTTTATATCTCATTTTGGGAGGTCAGGTGGCACCCTGGTAATACACTTGCCTTTCACCTGCCTGACCGTGTGTGGATTTTCCAGGGAACTATGAATTCCTCCTACCATAACACCTTTCACACCCTTCAATCTGGACCAACGAGACTGATTTATCATAAGCTATTAGATTGTTTTACAATTGTTGTAAGATAGATAAAGTTTATATCTACATGTATTGATAAAATCACTCTTGTTGAAGTACACTAGTGTCCTACCATGGGGGGAAATGCTACAACCCAGGGAAAATCCACATCAGACAGATCACCATGTGATCAGGGGACAACATCTACAATGTTGCTAATATGCCACAGATTGTGTTGCAATGATGACAGGAAATTAAAACAAATTTTGATAATCAATTCACTCAGATAGAGAGGACTTGAAAAATTCCTCATGAAGAAATTTCTGAAATAGTGTGTCTCACCAATTTTATATTTAAATTCACACCAGAATCTACATTTAAGGTAGAAAATGATTGAACAGCTTTTTTTAATGACTGATAACTTACATCTAATCAACTCACTGCTCTGTACATACCTATATTGATGTTGACAGCTTTACATGTTAAAGTTCCGGTGTACGCATCCTCGGAGTCCAGCTCCAGGCCGTATCTAAAAACGATACAGAAGCGAACGCATAAACATCTGGGCCCGTATTCATGAAAGCATTCTCATGCTCAAGCATAGATTTTGTGTTCAAGCAGTGCTTTTTATAATTTGCCTACATCATATAAAATAATTAAAAAATTCAAATATAAACATTGAATATAACTTTGACTTGAAGTCCTTTCAAATTTTTTAAAAATCTTTGGCAAAATCAGCTCTATTTATTAATTTTCAACTTAAACAAGACATAAGACTTGAGCACAAAATTCATGGTTGAGCATGAGAACGGTTTCATGAATACGAGCCCAGGCCATTGTAGACACATTAATCAAGTCTAGTGATCATAAAAAAAAATACATTTACATAATATACATACAGCCGTAACACATGCCTGTTAATAAGCCCACCAGTATATATTGTACTGCCAGAATAAAAGACATGACATGACAAGAAATACTGTTTCATTGTCTTGTAATAAGCCCGCCCTCAGACTTTGAATATGTATATGTCAACCCACATAGGCTTATTCCAGAATAAGATATGAATAACTTCAGCCAAGTTATTATAGTACGGAGGACTTCCATTTGACCTTGAAACCATGTATTTGACCCTAAAAATTGCTTTCATGGTTGACTTTCAAAAGATAATGATATATTCCAGTTTTTTAATATTCATATATAAACCTAGTCAAATCAAAGTCCTGGAATGTACTATAAAAGGTTCAAATTAAACATTATGTGCCATCATTATTTACAGATGTTTTGTTGCATGGAGCCACAGAGAATTTCTGCTGTTTTGACCTGAGCTGTAGAGAATTTCTGCTGTGCTGACTTGAGCCACAGAGAATTCCGGCTGTTCTGACTTGAGCAACAGAGAATTTCTGCTGTGCTGACTTGAGCCACAGAGAATTTCTTCTTTGCTGACTTGAGAGAAAATAAGTGTTAAATACATACATTTTGCAAGGTTCAAATACTTCTGCATAACCAATAAAACAATTGTTTTGCACTATATTTAATATGTCTATATCCTATTGCATTCATATCACCATGAATGCAAAAGAAACACTGTTCAATCTATATATCAACTTACAGTTTGCCTGAGTCATCCTTCATCTGGCATTGGTCTTCACCAAGGAACACCCTACAAGAAACAACACAGAGGTTGCAGTATAAAATTTATTCTGAAAATATTCTTGTGTGAACTGAAAGTGGTATCACAAAAGATTTTCTGCACTAGACTTATAAACACCTTCATTTATCAGAAGCTCTGAAGCAATTATATCTATACAGAAGATGGATAATTTGTTTGAAAAATGTTCTGAAACATGAAAAAAGATTAATGTTAGAACGAAATGATTTTGTCACTTAAATGATCAATTGTCATAAAAAATTGTTGAGAAACTTGTGGCAGCATTTAGCTTTCAGAAAACCTTTATATAAAGATCTCATATAAGAAATAGAAAAAGAATACAGTTTATCTATGATAACTTAACAATACGTCAGAATTAAGTACAGTGAATTAAGCATGTAGCACAAACCCCTGCCGTCTACAAGCTTAGAACTGATGCGGCACTTCAAAATCTCCTTCCACTTACTAAAATGTAACTCTATACAGACTTTATATACAAACTTCTGTTATCTATGAGCTTAGAACTGATTTGGTACTTCAAAAACTCCTTCCATTTACTCTAATGTAACTCTAAACAGACTTAATATGTCACTTCTGCTATTAAACCAAGGGCAGGATAAAAAGGTATTAAAGAAATTGATAAAAAAGTTCCTAAAATATTAGATTTTAAAATAATTTCCCATTTCAAACTTTAGGTGATAATAAAACAAAATCATAAACTCTGCTTTAAGACATAGAATGGAAACACATTAACTAAAGATTACTAGATGGAAGAATTTGCCGTGATGCCGTTCCTATAGGCTTTCGAAGCATTGTTAGAAACTGAAAAAGAAACCCGTTATTTTCAGAAAACCATTCAAACTACATATATATGCTGGTAGTTGGTAGCTACTTCTGGCCATTTACTAGTTCCTGCCACCGCACATCTGCTGATAGAAAACACTTAGGCTCTCCTTCACAAGACATTGTACTGGTAGTTTAGCTATAACACATGTGATCATTTGTCACACCAGTACAGTGGCAAGATCTGGTACTTGTTGAGAAATGGTCACCAACCAGTACAGAAGCACCTGTTTGACCCTGGTAACATGACCCCAATTATAAAATACATAAACCCTGGATGTTATCTCACCTTAAAATTCGTACATCCAGTCCATTAGTGGATGCAATAGGATTGATATCATATTGTGATGTGAAGATTCTTCCTTTAAATGTTATCAAAGTATCTAAAATTAAAACAAAACAAAAAGTATTCAAAACATTTACCAATAAACTATTTATCAAAGGATCACTGATACATTGTAGTTTGAACGTAAATTTATTTCCCGAAATATTGACATTTGACCTTTTGTATATGATGTGACCTTTTGTACGTGATGTGATCTTTTGTGTCTAATTTAACCTTTTGTATATGATGTGACCTTTTGTACATGATTTGATCTTTTGTATCTAATTTAACCTTTCGTATCTAATTTGACCTTTTGTATCTGATTTGCCCTTTAACAATTTGTCACTAGATTTGGTAAAGTAAATCTATCAATATGTATAATATTATACTGAAGATATTCAAAAACATTTAAGATTCATATCAAATTGTAAACATCTCATTTGTGGACAAAGAAATTTGTTAAAAGAGTAATTTAAGGATTTTCCAGTACTAGTATTTGTTTTTATACTTCAGAAAACATCAGACATTGTAGACTGGAATAAAAATTTTACTTACCTGGAGGACCGGTTCGAGGAGAAAAACTAGTGAACAGAGGTGTGTTCCGAGCAGTAGTCTAAAAATACAAAAATTACCAAAGATTGAAGAAAAAAAACTTTACCTGGTCAACCATCTACAATGCTATGCTTCGTTAATTCTGTTTTTTTTAAATGCAACTAGTTTACAATGTAAACTTTGATGCAGTTTCACATTCCACAGATTTAATCTTAATGACCTTTTAAAGATCTTATATACTTAACTATATGTTTGATTTTATGTGTTAGATTCTTCATCCTTTTCCAATTTATCAGTTTTATCCATGTGTCCCTCCACCTATCCCGCCAACCCCCACCCCTACAGCCCACCATCTGATAAAAATGGGCTACTGATCACATACATTTATAGAGATCAACTCATCATATATCTGTGATATATACTTCCTCATATTCACATCAGCACATAGTATTTTGATAAATTCCATACCTAGTCTAGAATTCTCACCTGATAGGGACATTGTGTGTTATTACAGATTCTGTTGGTTGATACCATAAATCCGTCTACAGACAATCCTACAATGTAGGTACCTTGTTTCATAGATCTGTAACATCAAAAAAATAAATCAAATTAGAAGTTTTTTTATTTATCAATAATTTTCTATCTAAAGCTGCTTATATTTTACAAGTTGTCTCCCTTTGATTGCAAGCGTCATCAACAAGATTGAAAATTGTAATAACAACTTTCGGCAAACAAGGAGTAACCATGGATACGTGTTCATATAAATATATAGATAAGAGATTAGCTAAACAGAGGATGATGAACATAATTATCGCAAAAAAGTATTTCTTTTTAGTAAAAATCACAATACTAGTTCTACTGGCCAACTTGCACATAACTTTGATTGGATGCAAAAACTATTGTATCTAGATTATTTTTTTTAATAAATTTAGACAGTGTGTTAAAATCCTTTAGGGATGAGAAGCTTTTGCATTTCATGTTAAATTTATGAAATCTCTTTTCTATCATTGATAAAGTTGTTGCATATTTTAAAAGTTAACTGCATCCTCAATTGAATGACCATTACATTTGGTGTACAATCTTCTAGACCAGGGAGAATTTGGAAAATGACCAGCTTCTATCATTGTCTCTTGTATAAATCATCATCATCATCATCACTATCATCATCATCATCATGCAAAAGATTTGGAGCACGCAGCAGCTTACTCTAACAAGGGGAATAACTCTTCCGACTGTTTTTAGTGAAACCATAGACGTATGTGTTTGTATACGTGATGAAGCCATACAATATCATATCTAGTGGAAATCGTGAAAGATAAGCAAGATCGTTTGGTAAATTTTCTTTTTCACAACTTACTACGAAGTCATTCACTGATACCCCGTCCCGGTTATTATAGATATGGTCTGCTTGAACCTTGTTGTTGCGTTATTGACAGAAACGATATTTCGGAACCGTACACCATAACTTGATATACAGTTTAATGTGATAAAGACTGGCTATTTTCAGATATATTAAGACAATATCGTAACAAACGTCGAACCCTGCATTGGTATGGGTCGCACAAGGTCACACTGGAGGGGTCGAACTTCACAAAAATAAGACGCTGAACCTGTGTCAAGGTCATGAAAGGTCAAACCAAAAATACCGATAAACGTCAACTCAGGCAAATTTCTGTGAGGTAAAACACATCAAACAAAAGGTCACAAAAAAACCCTTATCCATTTTCATATACGTCACAGTCAACATAGAAATAAATTGAGAATATAACTTCCGGAAAACATTTGTAATGCAGCGCCACGGGTGACCATGACACGAGGGCTTCCTGTGTGAAGAGGGCAGTGAGGCGGTGTTTTGTCCCGCTCTTGTAGTATTTATGAAATTCTACCGCTTAACACATGAACATTTTTTATAATTATGACGTCACAGTCTAGAATATTTACCGTGTTGTACAGATTATCATGGTACTCGTACACATATCTGCACTGACGTCACACGCGTACGTTTGCATTCCCTTAAACCACACCTTGTTCTCGTTCGGGGAACCTTGTCCGAGATTTGGAGCGTTGCCAGAGAAACCTGAAAACATCATCAGCCTGTCAAAGCCATTCATTAAATCATTATAGTTGTTCTGAAATATATTTTTCCTGAAATTATTGCTGTTAGACACCTACACAGCTTTCTATGACAAAACGATACTTTTACTTTTTTTGAAAGTTCATTTGAAAAGATTTTTGTAAAATTTAAATATGTTAAATGTTGTCATATTTCATCAAGACGGATATCTTCATATATGACAATATTGAGAGAGTATGAAATTCAACATGATATGGCACATGCTTGGTGGATCTGACTGAGGAAGTGCAGCAATACATAGGTATAATTCTCATGATCTGGATAGGACAATACTTAGGTCCCATCTCAATGGCGCCCCTTGTGGAAGGCCTGACTTAGGTTCCATCTCAATGGTGCCCCATGTGGAAGGCCTGACTTAGGTTCCATCTCAATGGTGCCCCTTGTGGAAGGCCTGAATTAGGTCCCATTTCAATGGTGCCCCTTGTGGATGGCCTTACTTAGGTCCCATCTCAATGGTGCCCCTTGTGGAAAGCCTTACTTAGGTCCCATCTCAATGGCCCCCCTTGTGGCAGGCCTGACTTAGGTCCCATCTCAATGGTGCCCCTTGTGTATGGCCTGACTCAGCTGTACTTACCTGAGCCCAGTAGTGTTATTTTCGTTCCCCCGTTGGTGCCTCCGGTGGATGGACTGATGTTCGTCACCATAATTTCCATACCTGCAACAAGTAAAGGAGATAATAGAGGAAAGTTATTTGGAAATGCCTCTTCAAGTACTTAATTCATGGCGATTCCAGGTCACTTAAGTAACCTATGTGACCTGCGGTAGTCACAGTACACAGAGAGGAGAGGTGACCTGAGGTAGTCACAGTACACAGAGAGGAGAGGTGACCTGAGGTAGTCACAGTACATAGAGAGGAGAGGTGACCTGAGGTAGTCACAGTACACAGAGAGGAGAGGTGACCTGAAGTAGTCACAGTACACAGAGAGGAGAGGTGACCTGAAGTAGTCACAGTACACAGAGAGGAGAGGTGACCTGAGGTAGTCACAGTACACAGAGAGGAGAGGTGACCTGAGGTAGTCATAGTATATAGAGAGGAGAGGTGATCTGAGGTAGTCATAGTATATAGAGAGGAGAGGTGACCTGAGGTAGTCACAGTACACAGAGAGGAGAGGTGACCTGAGGTAGTCACAGTATATAGAGAAGAGGTGACCTGAGGTAGTCACAGTACATAGAGAGGAGAGGTGACCTGAGGTAGTCACAGTATATAGAGAAGAGGTGACCTGAGGTAGTCACAGTATATAGAGAAGAGGTGACCTGATGTGGTCACAGTATATAGAGAGGAGAGGTGATCTGAGGTAGTCACAGTATATAGAGAAGAGGTGACCTGATGTGGCCACAGTACATAGAGAGGAGAGGTGACCTGAGGTAGTCACAGTACACAGAGAGGAGAGGTGACCTGAGGTAGTCACAGTACACAGAGAGAAGAGGTGACCTGAGGTAGTCACAGTACATAGTGAGGAGAGGTGACCTGATGTAGTCACAGTACACAGAGAGGAGAGGTGACCTGAGGTAGTCACAGTACACAGAGAGGAGAGGTGACCTGAGGTAGTCACAGTACACAGAGAGGAGAGGTGACCTGAGGTAGACACAGTATATAGAGAGGAGAGGTGACCTGATGTACTCACGTTATATAGAGAGGACAGGTGACTTGAGGTAAACACAGTATATAGAGAGGACAGGTGACCTGAGGTAGTCACAGTATATAGAGAAGAGGTGACCTGATGTGGTCACAGTATATAGAGAGGACAGGTGACCTGAGGTAGACACAGTATATAGAGAGGAGAGGTGACCTGATGTACTCACATTATATAGAGAGGACAGGTGACTTGAGGTAGACACAATATATAGAGAGGACAGGTGACCTGAGGTAGTCACAGTATATAGAGAAGAGGTGACCTGATGTGGTCACAGTATATAGAGAGGACAGGTGACCTGAGGTAGACACAGTATATAGAGAGGAGAGGTGACCTGATGTACTCACAGTATATAGAGAAGAGGTGACCTGATGTACTCACATTATATAGAGAGGACAGGTGACCTGATGTACTCACAGTATATAGAGAGGACAGGTGACCTGAGGTAGACACAGTATATAGAGAGGAGAGGTGACCCGATGTACTCACAGTATATAGAGAAGAGGTGACCTGATGTACTCACAGTGTATAGAGAGGACAGGTGACTTGAGGTAGTCACAGTATATAGAGAGGACAGGTGACTTGAGGTAGTCACAGTACATAGAGAGGACAGGTGACTTGAGATGACATGGATTTCTGAGTAGGTCACAACTGAGGTGATTTTTTAGGCCAGTACTACTGAACTAAGGCTTACAATTGTCTACTAACAATAGCCGACAAACGTTTTCGGTCAACAGATTTTCTCAAAAGTAACACAATAATGACAAAATCACAGTCAATTTTGACATTTGACGACAATTAATTTAATTCACTATGTCAATATTTCTCTTTTGACGTCAGTTCACAAACTTCCATCGCTAAGTAGACAGGACCACCATGTAAACGGTACTGATATGACATGTTATTAATAAAACGTAGTTATTTGACACGAATTTAACGTAAATTTATAGAAAAAAGAAATTACGTTTCCTTTGTACTGAACAAGTAATAAATCAGATTCCGAATGAGAAAATATCAAAATGTTTCGTTACAATTTCTATCCGACCTACAGATAGTTTACAGCTACGCCATACACCAGAAAATAATAACGTGTTTCGTTTGTAATTAATCTGTTATAAAACGTAAATGAAAGCGATAAGAATAAGCTTTTAATTGTATATTTCCTATTCTTTTCTTCCTGTTTGCGTGATTTGTTTTTTTTTTTTATTTTAATCTTGATCGTTTTAAGTATAACCTTGTCTATTTTGTAATCTTAACCAGACAGGAATAATATATGTTTGGTTTGAAACTGAAGTGAAAGCGACCGGAATTAACTTTTTAAATTACTTCTTTATTTGTTTTGGCTCTCTCTCTCTCTCTCTCTCTCTCTCTCTCTCTCTCTCTCTCTCTCTCTCTCTCTCTCTCTCTCTCTCTCTCCCACCCCCCCTCTCTCTCCCACCCTCTCTCTCTCTCTCCCCCCCCCCCCTCTCTCTCTCTCTCTCTCTCTCTCTCTCTCTCTTGTTTTTGGTCGTGATCATTTTTAATTATTCCCGTGTCTATTTTGTACTTTCTTTCCAGATTTTGTCTTATCTCGCTTTACAATATTTAGCATTTACCACCACCGACTAGTGCTAGAATGACGAAACAGATTTTGTTACCTTATGCATGAAACATGGAGACAAAGCGCCCCCTGGCTTACTAGTCTGGCGCTTAACCGACCGAGCTAAAGAGAAGTTCGATGTAGCCGAGCTGTAGGTATATTAAGTCCAGTTTTTTTACCAGGGTTACAAGAATGTCTATATTTACTATGCTTACTAAACGAGAAAGTGAAATCGACTACTTACAAAAACGTATAAGCTTTTTAAATTCATGAGAACAATTCATCACAAGCTGTAATATTAGATAGAGCATTGAACTAATAGCACTGGGTCTTTCCTGATAGCATCCGAATAACATTTTTTTTTTTGTCCCGATGAATAATATTTCTAATTATTAATTTTCATTCCGCTTCATTGAACCGTGAAATTGTGACGAGACAACCATGTATACGGATCATTGAAGTCCTTGATTTCTGTCTGACGTTACAGGTGATATACGTCTAGATATTTCGCAATAAATAATTTTTTGGGATTCAATATATTGGTTTTTTGGTTTCATACAACAAAATGCTTAATCACTATATATAACGTACGTTTGGGCATAAACATGATTATAATAAGTTTTCGATGTCTGATAGAAAATTGGTGACATTTAACCTGAAACAGGGACCCATTTAAAATGAGGTCATTATCATACTTCAGATTTCAGGCAGATAAAATTCTGAAAAGTCAATGACATATATAATTATTTATAAAACGAACAATTTCTGTCAAGACCCGTTCGAAGGTTTGAAATCAAAACACGGCTTTATCTTATCCAAATAATGATACAGTATTTCAATTGAATATATTTCGGTCACGTGACAAAATGGAGGACTTTATTTTTCTGACGTTAATAACCCGGTTTTTCTATTGTGATCGATAACTTATATCTAATGAAAATTCATAAATTACAACAGATTTTATCGGAAGTGGAATTACATTGTTATCTTATAAATCGCGGGGCTGTTTTGACGGCAATTTCAAACAAAAATAAATATTTATGAAATCGCTTTTGGACTGTTCACAACTCAATTATAATAATTTATGATATTCTAAATGACTTTTAAATATACCATTGATATTTTTCTATATAGAAACTTGTTCTAAATCTATATGTAAAGTTAAGGAGATAATTGAAATATTACAAGTGCCCTCTGTCTCACGATCATAACTACATGTAAATCACAAATGTTCCCAGGAACATCCGATTAAATTTAACGATATTTGCGGTATTTTGCAACATTTTCGTCATGTTGGTAATTTCAATAGAATAGAAGTTCTTATAACACAACCAGTGGAAGAATAAAGTGTGACATTTCAATGACTACATGGTCACCTTCATCAGACAAATGACCAGTGAGGAGCGTACTAACACTGACATATGTAGTGTACGAGAAGGTACGGAATCCACCAACTTGTGTTAGCCTGTTTATTGATCCGTTCCAGCAATATTAGTGGTAGATATTATAAAGAAGTTTACATTTGTATATATTTCTTGAGATGTCGTATTAATGTTCCGCTTCTCTAGGGGGAGTTGGGGGTGGAGGTGGCGGTGGGGGTGTCGGGGGCGGGGTTGGTGTTGGGGGGATTTGGTATTGTGGGTGGGAAGGGATTGGAAAGGGTGTTGAGTGTGGGGGTGGGATGGGGATGGGATTGGAGGGGATGTTGAGGATGGGATTGGAGGGGGTGTTGGGGATGGGGATGGGATTGGAGGGGGTGTTGTTTGTGGGATGGGATTGGAGAGGGTGTTGGGTGTGGGTGTGGGGGTGGAGATTGGACTGGAAGGGGTGTTGGGTGTGGGATGGGGATGGAATCGGAGGGGGTGTTGGGGATGGGGGTGGGAGGGACTGGACTGGAAGGGTGTTGGGGATGGGGTGGGGATTGGACTGGAAGGGGTGGCCTTATCTGTGGAATCTGTGTGGAGTCTATCATCGTGTTTCAGTTTCCCGTATTTCATTGTCGTCAGTATAGTGTGTTCATATTTCCAATATGATTTTTAAAAATAAATTTTTAAATTTACTTGTTGGGATCATGTGACGGGGTCATGCATTTCCAATATTTAAGGATTTTAATCAATCTCTAGATCTGACAACGTGCATGGCGGCCCCTTAAATAACAAATGACTGTCACACACCGGCACATTGATTACATTCAGGTAACATGTTAATATACTTGCCTTGTGCATCTCAAATGATCGTTTTGTATGATATGTACATTGTATACTTAAAATATCGACCTATCTATGTGTATACCAAATTACGGGGAAAACCTTCTGGGTGGTCGGATGGCGCAGTGGTACATGCCTTTCTCCAAGACGTCTCGGGTTTGGTTCCCGGAACGGACATGAAAAGGTAAGGAGTCACCTGCCGGACCATGTGAATTTTCCCCCGGGTACTCCGGTT